CAAGGCGATCCAAGGCTCACTGGAGCTGCATCTTAAGGAAAGGAAGGAGCGTGCACACTGCAAAGGTTAAAATAGATGGACGTGGAGGAGAAGGGAGAATGTTAAGTGGCTGGAGGAGAGGCTTAGGGGAGGGGGGAAGGGGCTGTTCTTCTGGTCGCCCTGTGGTTGTGAGCTAAGGGGATAGTCCGTCTGAGGCCAGGCACCAAGGGGCCTTTCATCCTTCCCCCTCTCAGCGATGCCAAGCCTGCCATCTTAGCTCTTAGCACACCAAGCCTTCTGGTGCCCCAGGATCTGGCTGTCCCGACTGTTTTCTCTCTTGCTCCCAAATCTCCTCATCCTGCCTCTCTAGGCCAGTCCTGCTCTCCCATGCCCACACGCGTCCCTCCGCAGTGGAGCCCGCCTATCCTTCTCCTGACTGGCTGGGCCACCTCTGCTGCTGCCTGTTGTCACTCCAGCTCCCACGCTGGGTGTGCTTTCTCTGCCGGGCAGCTTGGCTTCCGGCCGCCCTCCCCCGCATGCTGCTAGGGTTCGCTCATTATGTCCCTGGGGACTTCGCCATGGCCTTGCCTGCAGATCCCTCACCCGCTTTTCTGTGTGTCTCCTCCCTGGTCTGTGTTGATGCAGCGCTTCCCACCTTCTCCTTCCTGACCTTCCTCCCGATCCTTCTTCCGCCCCTCAACTGAGGTGTTCCCTTGTCTTCTCCCTCTGAACGCCGACCCTGGAGCCTTCACTGGCCTCAGGGCTCACTCTCCAGCCTGGAGGATGCCTGTACTGTCCGCATGTCCACACCTGAGTATATTATCTACCACCTTCCTCAACAGAAGACCAGAGCCTTTCTGCCATTGCTGCTCAGTTCTTCCATTTTGGCTTTCGTTCCGCACACCTAGCCCAGAACCCTTGGAATCATTTTAGCCTCTTCTCTCTTCCTTCCTTGCTTACATAGGAATAATCACTGAGTTCTCTTGTTTCCCTCTGAGGCTCTTGGCTAGACCCATTTCTTTCCCCTTGGGCAGCCACCTAGCTGGTTCTTCCGCCCCCAGCCTTCCTGGTGGCTGCCCAGTCTAAGGGCATGGCCAGAGGAGGCTCTTGAGCCAGGCTTTCCAGACCCCCGGGTTGGCTCCACCCACACTCTCCCACGACACTTGAATCCAGACGATCACTGCGCTGTTGTCTGTCTGCTTTCAGTGGTCCCTCCCAGGTCTCCCAAGAGCTGCCACGGACTCACTTTATGACATGCTCCTAGTGGGTGACCTCTGTAGAGTCAGCAGTGTGGTAACCAGTGTGATACGTCATGGTTATGATGCTGAGCAGACACTTCCTGGGGGCTTTCAAGGGGCCAGGCACTGTGCTGGGCCCTGCCCTCCAGGGCTCTTAGTCAGTCTAGGGTTGGGGTAGGGATGGGCGCAGGGGGGAAGGAGACACCTCCATAGGGAGTTGTAAACCAGGGTGGCCGCGGGCAGTGCCCAGTTGAACCCTTGCATCATACTGGGTGATAGTGTGCAAGCAGTCAGTTTGCTCAGTGCATTCCTTATTGCAAGCTTAAGTTCTCTGCTGTGTGAGGGTGAACGTTGGGCCAGAGGCTTTGGTGGCTGGCTGGAAAGTGGTTTGGTTACCGTGAGGGTGGCTGTTGGTTAGACGATCTAAGGGATTAACTGGGTTTGATGGAAAGGAAGCTGAAGATTTGATGCTTGAGGTTTCTGCTGTAGACACTTTGCTGTCAGTGGCCCAAGGGCATGCCACTGCACTGCACGGGCAGGTGGGCACTGGGCCCAGCCTCGCTCCTTTCCCCTTCCCTTCTCCCCAGTTCCAGAAGTGGAGGTGCCTGCCAGTCCCAGGAGGGCTGGTCTACAGGTCAAAGTACCGAGGCACTGGGCAAGGGCAGTTGTTTTTCCTGACTGACCATGTTATCTGAGGATTAAAACTGGAGCAACATCAGTGTGTTTTTCCAACAGATTCTTTTCTTTTTTTCCTTCAATCATGTGCATTGAGCTATGGACTTTTTAGTCTGAAGTCCATTAGCTCCCTGAGAACAGGAGAACAACATGTAATAATATAATGGAATGAACTTTTTGGTGAGCTCTCAAGGTGGGTTACGTAAGGGCAGTGGGTCCTTGGGTATTGTACCCAGCTCTGGCAGGGCAGAATGAGGGATCCTCAGCTCCTCCTCCTGGATAGTTTTACCCTGGGGAGAAGGAACATTTGCATTCCAATGGCAGATTATATTCAGAAACACTAGAATATGGCCACATTTCTATCTTGTACTCTGCGGAGATGGAACATCGTATTAAAATTTATGGTAACTGATACCGTTGGGAGTGCTTTATGATTTATAAAGCATGTTCATTAAGTTACCCCATTTCATCCTCACAGCAGTTCCACTAGGGAGGTATCATTATTTCCATGTCAGATGCAAGGCACTAAGTCGTAGAAGGTTGAGTGATGTTGGCTAGGCATCTTAGCTACTGAGTTGGTAGAGCTCAGCTGCAGCTCAAGACTTCTGGCTGCAAAGAGGCAATGGACTGAGAGGGCATCAGGTCAAATAGACTAAGGTTCAGGTTCTGGTCCTGTTACTTATTAGCTATGTTACTTTGGTCGGATTGTTTAACTGATCAGTATAATCAAGCATATCAGATCATCTACAGTTGCCTCCTTTTATTGACCACATTCATCCATAGCTCTTTGTCCTTGCTCCATTATGGGCTGGTTGCTCTGTAGACTACAGGGTATATGTCGTGGACTCCTGTTCACCATCAACATGGTAATTCTCCTTGCCTCTCTTTGTGGGATCCTTTGTTTCCTAGGTTCCATGTCTTTCTGATTTTTTTACTCATTTGTTTTGCTGGAGCATGACTTCCAGTATTTTCCCTAGAAAGGGTGTATTGGTGGTAAGTTTTTCACATCTGAGCTCTTAAGCCTAAGTAAATCTATACTCACAATTGACAGATAGTTTGGCTGGATATAGAATTCCAGTTGGTGATCATGTTGCATGAGAGTCATGAAGGCAACGCTTCATTGTCCTCCGCTGTGCTGATGAGCAGTCTTAGGCCAATTTGATACCTGATCTTTTTGTATGTGGTGGGGTTTTTTTCTTTGAAACTTTCAGAATCTCCTCTTTATCAGCAATGTTCTGAAAGTTTTAGGAGATGTACTTTGGTGAGAGTCTTTTTTTGTTCATTGTGTGGGACCGTCTCAACTGGAGACTTACATTCTTTTAGTCTGGGGTATTTTCTTGAAGTACTTTTTTTTTTTTTGAAAGTTTCTTTTCCTCTGTTTATTTCTTTTTCTGGGGTTACTTTAATTTGGCTCTTGCACTTAATGGATCCATTTTCTTATTTTTCTTACCTTTTTCTTCTATTTTTTATTTCTTGATTTTATGTTTTATTTTCTAGGAGTTTTTAAAAATTTTACATTCAACTGTATTGAAATTTTTTAGTTCTGTGAGAGTTTTACTTTCCAAGAATTTTTCCTGATCCTCTTTGACTATTCCTTTCTTGTAGCATTTTATTCTTTTTTTTAATTTAATTTTTAAAATTTATTTGACAGAGAGAGTGAGCACAAGCAAGAGCAGGGGCAGAGGGAGAGGGAGAAGCAGGCTCCCTGCTGAGCAGGGAGCCCGATGTGGGGCTCGATCCCAGGACCCTGGGATCATGACCTGAGCCGAAGGCAGATGCTTAACTGACTGAGCCACCCAGGCACCCCACATTCTATTCTTGTTTTATGGATGCAGCATTTCATTTCTCTGAGAATAATAATCATAGTTTTGCTATTTTCCATTCCTTTTCTTCTAAATGTCATCCTTTTTTAGTTCGTTTTCATCCCTGTCTTTTGTGTTGAGGGCTTTCCTCAAATATCTGGGGAACTTGGGTTATCTGTATTGAATAGCAAGGCACTGGCACATGCATTGGAGACTGTGAGTGTGAGGAGGAGGTAGAGGGTGCTTGTTTACTGAGAGGGCCTCACAGTGGGCATTTCAGTGGGAACTCAGTTGTTTCACTGGAGGATCTCCAAATCACCATCTTTAGGCTGTTTTTCTTGTGCTTCTCAGTTTCCACAGAGAAAAATTCTGTAATCTCCTGCCTGGGGGAATAAGACTGGCAGCATTCTGGAAAACGGAGAGGAGATGTCAGGGAAGTGGGGGTTCAGGGGGATGGGTGTCTCAAGGTTCAGTTTGTAGACTTTCCCTTAATCCCCTTGTTTTCTCTCAGGGCCATACTTCTACTGTCTGCCTGGTGTCTCCCAGCAGAGCTTTTCTTAGTCTCTCCATATAGTAGCCCTGTGTTTTCTGCCAGCTAGGCAAGGGGCTGCTGGCTAGCTATGTGGGCTGGGTGAGGGGATCTGCTGTGTGACTGTTCCTGACTCAGACTTTTAACACACCTCCTCCCCAGCCTGCTTCCAGCCCACCCCTCCTTGTGCCTGCAGAGGTGCTTGGGGTCTCCAGTATCCAAGGCTGGTCTCCGGGTTATCTGGGAAGAATTGCTCGTTTCTTGTTGGCTGGCCTCCTGAGATCATTGGCTAAGTGGGAAAAGCTGAAAACCTTCCATTCCCAACCTAAATATGAGAAGTGATCTTACTTTTCTGTGGCTTTGTGCTTCAGTGCTTCTAGGTGGGATGGAGTTTTCACATTTCCCTGGTGTATGGTGTTGGGGTGCAGTGTGGGGTACAGACACTGACTTCCCAGAGGGGCCTGGATTGAGTAGGTGACTAGTGCATCCATGCAGCCTGCTTGTGTAGTATGCAGCTCATACAGCTTTGTAAAAGGGCCTGAAGAGGAGTGGCGAGTTGGAGACTGGGAATGGGCTGGGCAGTGTCCTGGGGGAGGGTTGTTGGTGATTTGGGGAGGGGATAAGGTGGAAAAGTTGGTGCAGTGTCCTGAGAAGGGTTGGTGTGCCCTTCTGCCTCTGAAGTAGAGTGTGTTCTAGGCAGTGTGTCTGCGGGCACCCATTCTTCCTTGGGCCTGGCAGGAAGCTGGGGCTCATGGTCCTTGGCCTTTCGATCCCCAGGTGGTCCTGCCGATGTGGCTGTCCTCCACAAAGGTCTCCTCACTCATCGAGAGAATTTCTGACCCCAAGGACTTGAAAAAACTTCTCAGGACCCGGAATAATGTGCTGGTGCTCTACTCCAAATCTGGTGAGTACCCAACCTGGCCTTGGGGGTTATCCATCGGGGATGGGACTGTTTGGGTTTGGGGAACAGGCGGGAGGCAGAGACCTCAGGACCACCCAGGGAGGGCCCGAGGGTCATCAGGCTTGTCAGCTTTCCCCAGAAAATGAGGTAGAGGCACCAGGGAGTGTGCGTTCAGTCTCTTTTGAGTCCCTGAGAGGCTATTTCAGTTCCTGTGATCAGTCTTTCTTAGGAAGAGCCTCTGGAGCCCTCGCTACATCAGGAGGGAGAGGGTGTATGTGAAGGGGGATGGAGGATGGTGGTCAGTGGGGATGGATGTTCTGGCTTCCTGGACAGGCACAGGCTGGCCATGATAGGGCATGCTTCGCCAGAGCTGTTGATTAACTGACGGGGCTGGCCAGTCGCCAGCTGAATTGGTCCCAAGCTTGGGAGCACGCACCCAGGCTGGCAGCCCTGGCCCATGCTGGTCCCCATCTGTCCCATTCTGGGGTCAGAACACGGGACTGAATTGGCAGTGGGCTCCAAGAGCAGGACAGAGCAGTTTCAGTGGGGGTAGGAGCCGTGGCTGGCCTCTTCTGACCTTGAGGCTGGCAAGGGCGTAGTGGATGGAGAGAGGTTTGCTTAGCTCTTGGCTGCGACTTTGAACATCTGACTGTTGATGTTGTTCCAGCAGAGTTAAGTGTTTTCACTGCTCCTAAGGATGCCAAGTTTTTTGTGCCCTGGAGAAGCAACCAGTGGCTGGGCCAGTTCCGGGCATAGTTCTCCCTGGCAGCTCATCCTCGACACTCATTGGCACTGGGGCTGATGGATGTTTTGGATGTGTGTCTCTCCTGAAGCCTACATCCTTTAAGCACCCTGGCACTTGCTACTTCTTGCCCTTTTGAGGGCTTGGCACACACTTCCTGAGGTGGTTGTTAGGAGCCCGGCATGTGTCTAGCATTCTCCGTTATCAAGAGTAGGGGGAAATTGAGGCAAGGGAGAAGCAGAGTTGCTCCTGAGGCCCGGGGTGCAGGGCCCTGAATAAGCATGGCTCACCCCCTTGGATGCTCGTGGAGCCAGGCGGTTGCCAATGCAGAAGCCCTCAATTCCTTCTCTGGGTCGGTCCCGTCATAGAAGCTCATCATCTTACACGGACTCTGCAAGGAACTCCTGGGACACACTCCTGTTTGCTCCTTGCCATGAGGGAGGCAGTGCAGGTTGTCAGAGAGCTTCCAGTTTACCCGTGGGGAAACTGAGGCAGAGGGAGACTAGCTGACTTGTCTGACGGCCACCGGCTGATAGATGATAGAGCTGGCCCTCTGTGCTGCCCCCACTTTGTTTCCTCTGCTGGAGGGTAGGAGGAAATGTGTTAATCCCACAATGACGGAAGGGCTCTGAGATCAGGAAATGATTATGGTAGTTGTGGGGCAGGACGCAGGGCCTGGACCACTCTTACTTTCTCTTCTGCCCCTCACCTGGCTGCTGGCTCACTCATTGGCAGTGGGGTTCCAGTGCTTCCTGGGGTCCTCTCTGCCTTGGACTGCTGGGCGGCAGGACCCACGTGATGGTTTTGCCTTCCTGCCCCTTTGCCTGGACCTGCTGCAGATGTGTGACCCTCAGTGGGCTGTGGAGTAGTGCAGTAAGTGGATTTTCTCCGTTCCTATCCTCCCAAGCGGGGCCTCCCTTTCCCCTGCTGAAAGGTGGGGTTCAGAAGGGAAGTGCTTCATATAGCTCAACTTCAGCTTCTGCCCCCTGCCCCAGAGAGCCCTGTCTGAGCCCCAACGCATGGTGGGGTGATGGCTTTCTCCCCCTCTGCTGCCCTCCTCCTCTAGTTGGGCTTGTGGGGGTTCCCGGGAGTGCCTCCTTCGGGTGGCTCCATGCAGCTCTCTAGAAAGATATTTTTTGTTCACTTACATGAAAGGCTCAGCATGCTTTGTATTCACAAACAGCTACCGTTATCTACGCTAGAAAAGGAGATCTGTGGAGCCAAATAATTCAGACATCATTTCTGCTCGGCTTTGGGATGTATCTTATGGTTTTTGGCGGAGGCAACAGACCTGCTCTCCTTCTCAGTGTCTGCATGGGGGGCCCTTCAAGTGAGCTCACAGGTGTGACAGGGAGAGGTGACGCATGGGCCACAGCCCCTCTGCAGCAGTGTTGGAATCCTGGCTGCAAGCCTCTGCCCCCAAGCTCCTGCCCTCCCACAGTAGTTTCCCATGCTTTGCCCACATGCCTGGACCCATGGAGAACTTCCTTTCTCATGCTCACTCCACCCTGCCCCAAGGCATAGTGCGTGTTTTTGTAGCTGACCCTCCAGGTACTGCGAGGGCTGGCTCTTCTGTCGCTGCTGGGGAAATGGGCTGTGAAATGTGACTTGGGTCCACTAGACAGTGGTCCATCTGAGTCTAGTGTCACATATAAACCTCAGTTAACCACCAGGTTGTACTGAGCCCCTGCCGAGGTGAGGATGTGATGCACAAGTAAAGGAAGGGTCTGGTCCCTGCTTTTGTCAGCTCCCAGCTTGGGCTCCAGGACAGAGGAATGTGGAATTGGCAAACTTGTTCCCTACGTTAGTTACAGAATTGTAATCATTTGATTATAGAACTTTCACAATTTGTCCCAGAAAAGTAATGAGTCAGAGATTCTACTGAGAGTTGAACATCTGGCTGAGAGATTCTTGGAAGAGCGGGGCGTGAGGTGTGGCGTAAAGGAGGGGTGAGTTGGGGGTTCTGTGTCTGTGAGGAGGGCTCCAGAGGCTGGTGGGGAACAGGGGATTCTGAGACGCGTTCTCACCGAACTATTGAGCTCAGGGTCAGTGTTGTTACTGGTGCCCCGGACCTCCCCTCTAGGACGGGTCTCCATCCTTCCTTACCCCTGAGGGAAGATGGCAAGAGGTGGTCCTGGGGTGCTCGTGCACGTATGTTTAATGTTTTATTTTTTTACAGAGGCTGCAGCTGAAAGTCATCTCAGGTTATTATCCACTGTGGCCCAGGCCGTGAAAGGACAAGGCACCATCTGCTGGGTAGACTGTGGGTATGTCCTGGGGACATGGGGCATGGTGGCTGGAGGGCAGGGCCTCCTTCGGGGATTTGGAGGGTGGGGTAGGGAATCGTCCCTGAAGAATGCTCTGGGAGAGAGGGTGTGCTGGAGAGATGGCGGTAGGAGAGCCTCTCTCACCTTACCGTAGGGTCACCTGTGGCCTGGAGAAGGGGCAGTTCGGGCTTCCCACCTGTTCTTTCCAGCCCCACCACTCTTCTTCCCTTTTTCCGTAGTGCTTTTACTTTTTACTCTGTTGTCATGTGTCACGTGATTTTTTCTTCCCAGTGGGTGGGAGAGGGGGCCTTGATGCTCAGAGGCAAGGTTATTTTCAGGGTCACCTGGTGGGCTTGCTTGGGGGAGGGGTCTGCAGCAAGAACCATGGGCTTTACCCCCAGCCCAGGTCATTGATAGAGCTCTCCACCGCCCACAGCGCGAAGGTGGTGGAACCAGCTAGTCCGAGGGCCTGCTGCCTTGCCTTCTGAGGTGGCTCCATTAGATCAGGCCTGGACAGGTGGCTTTGTCCTTCCAAAGCTCTCTTCTGACCCGTGTCTCCCTGCCCGCCCCTGCCTGTCCTGGTGCCAGGGCTGCCCGTTCCTCCTCCTCCTCCTTCTCCTCCTTCCCGACCTCCCTCCGCCCGGAGACGTCCTTGTCAGTGTTAAGGTGACAGGACCAAACACCAGCCCACAGGCAGGTGTCTGCAGGAAGGGGGGCTACTTCTTAGGGTAGGGAAGCAGTTTCTTGATGGAATTCTCAGATTCTTCTAAGTGTGGGAGTTTGAATCCAGGGTGTGCTCAGCTTCCCTTTCCTTTCAGTCATTAGGAATAATTTGCCCATCTGTCTGTGCATTGTGTGTGTGCATGCACATAGGCACACCCCTTCGTTACATAATTAGCTCTCAGTTTGGTGTAGATTGGCCTAAGTACAGAAAAGGCACAGAGAGAGTGAAGGAACATAGGAAAAAAGGTAACTAAGAACAGGTTTGTCCTTTGTATGTTTGAGCACCTACTGTATGCAGGGCTCTATGTTGCACTTGGCGGATATCAGCATTTACATCTGCTTCCGACTGAGGACAGGAAGTGTTTCCAGAGTCACTGTGTCCAGCCACTTCTCACCTGGACTTTGGGTCTCTCAGGGGTAGGGGCTTGGGAAGAGGAGGGGAAAGGAGAATATTGCATCGCTGTTAGTACGGGGAAGAGGTGGGGCGCTGCTGGGAAAAGAGGCAGTTCTTTTCCTGGACAGCCTACAGAGGGCTTCGTAACCTTTCCTGTAGCTGTTCTTGCCCGAGCCACAGCCTGGCTGCTAGCCTGTGGGTTAGCTGAGCTTCTCGGGCTCAGCTCCAGTGCAGTCTTCTTCCCTTTCAGTCGGAATTCTAGACAGCCGTTTTGTGAATGAACTTCTGGGACACACTGATTTATAAGTTTACGGCCTCAAGTTTGTCCTGCCCATGATTGGAGAGAAGTGACGGGAGACTTATATTTTGACAAAGCCCTGGATGAGATGACAGAAGTCGTAGCTGAGTGGTGTTTGCTGCGCATGCACGCTCCTGTCTCTGGCCTCACATCTCCTGATTTATTCAAATACCAATTTAATGGAAGAGACTGCTCACCAGACATATGGTGAGATCTTGGCCACCGGTTAATCCTAGTTCATAGTTGGTCCAAAAGTGTTGTCTCCTAGGTGTGTCTCAGTCTCCCGCGTTTTCCCAGGAGTGCACCGTGTGACTAGCAAAGCGACAGAACCTCTTCGAGGGGACAGGGCACTTTGGAATCTCCATATCTGGAGATGACACTGGCCTGCCAAGCCGGTAGAACCTATCACAGGGAGTTCTCAGGCTTGCAGGTGGCAGAAATGGGAAGGAGAGCTTTGATGTAGTTGCTGCCTTCTCCTGCAACATTCCTAAGCACCTACCGTATGCCTTGAGGTACACAGATGGAGAATAGCATCCTCAGGAGCTCAGCGTGCAAGGCGGAAGCAGACACTGAACCCGGTGATTACAGTCCATGTGAGAAATGCAGTCAATGGAGGCTGTGGGTGTGAGGGGTACCCCTTTAATCTGCCTGGAAAGGTTGAGAAAAGCTTCACAGTGAAAGTTGAGTTACCATTTGGGGTAAAGACCTTTGAGTACCAGGTCTTTTAAAGTGCCCTGGCTTTCCCTGCAGGCAGCTGCCTGTGGTGTGGGCCCCGAGTACTGCCTGGGGTCCTCTGCTGCTGCGTGTGGAGCCAGCAGTCCTGCTCTGCTCCCTGCAGGGGCAGGACTAAAAGGGGGGAGGCCAGGGTTAGAACATTAGAATCCAGGGCTTTTTCGGAGACATGACGTCTGGAGTCAATAAAAGTGCCAATGGGAGAAATAATCCTGCGACTTTTGATGTGCTGTGATGAAAATCTAGGGGGGCATCTTAGAGCTTAAAGAGGTAACCTTAAGACAAAAGGACAGACAGTTCCACATAGTTGCCACTCAGTTCATCCCTCTAAGAGGAAGTATAAACTGAAATGTTACATGGCTTTTAAAATAGTTTAGATAAGTAGATGGATTATGGAGCTCTAACGAGTTGTGTTGGAAGCAGGAGTATCTGGGTCCAAGTTTGAAGTCAGAGGCAGGGTGCAAGGAGATCTTCCCAGCGCAGCCCAAGGGACAGAACTTGGGGCTCTAGTCCACGCAGGCCACTGGGGGTGGCAGTTCTCATGGATAAGCATTACACAGGGAACTCCCCAAGGGCGTGAGCTGGTTCTGCCCTGCTGGTCCTAGACTTCTGAAAGTGCCCTGTAAACCATTAGGGGAACCCACCACGTTAACCCTAGGGCCCGGTATGACAGCTCTCATTGTGTCCTAAATATGTTCAGTCTGTGTTTATGAATCTGAATGAGATGCTTCCAGGGATGGGCAGAAGTGCTCTCGGGAACACTTTCTCTTGCTGTCTGCAGTGGAGTGAGCAGGTGGAACGGAGCCAACGTCTGCTCACTTTTTATCCTCGCAGCTATTAAATAGCAGGTAGTCAGCCAGAGTGTGCCTCCCTTCGCACAGGCCCTCCTGAGGTTCCCCATCTCTCATCCTTTCCAGCTGTGCTTCCTGCCTTGCCAGCAGAGGGTTGGAGGCTAGAATGAGGATGCCAGTGCTTGGGAGGGGGGCGACAACGGGAAGGCCTTGAGTGAAGAGCCCACGCTGCTTTTCTCCCTTGAAGGGCAGGTGAAGGGAACAGGGGGCATTCTAGGGCAAAAGAAGACAGTGCTGTGGTGTGAAGTGTCTTTGAAGGTATGCGGGATAAAGGCAAAGGCCTGGGTTGAAGGGTCAGCTCTGCTACTTAGGAGCCCTGTGACCTTGGACAGGTCTGTTTCCTCATCTGTAAATGGGACAATAGTACATATTCTGCTGCCTTTCCAGGTCTGTGGTGAGGAGCCAGCAAATGGAAGTTCTTTCTAGAATATAATTTAAATGTGAGATCCCATTTTTACTGTTACTTTTCATCTGGGCAGGATTGTTCAGGGCATTGCCAGAAGAAGCCGAGGGGGAGAAATGGTGCATGCATTCTTCAACGGTCCTTTCTTGGGGGTGGGTGTTGAGAGGATGCCCCTAAGGAAGTTCTGAGCATGAGAGTCAGCCCCAGTGCACAGGCTGTTTTGCTCTGACCCTTAAGAAGTTTGGGGATACAGTGGGACTTGTAGGACTATAGGTCATGCATGGGGCCAGGCTTTGAGTCTAGACGGACAGCTAATAGCTGCAGGACCTTTGGCAAGTCGCTGCCGCTCTCTGGGCTTCAGCGTAATCTTGTGTGAACCATGGAGTTCAATCTTCCAGTCTGTTCTCATCACTGAATAGCCTGGTTCAGAAAATCCTGGAAGCTGCCAGGTTTGGTGTGTGTGTATGCATGTGAGTATGTGGCAGTCTTTTTTTGGGGGGAGGGGGTCTTTCTCTGTGTCTCCCCCGTTCTGGGTGTCTGCTCCTTATGTCTCTCCTGTCCTTCCCTCAGAGCTGCTGGCCTCTCTCCTGCTTTATTCCGTCCTCCTTACTAGTTTCTGTCACCTCTCCCCCATCTCTGGGTCCCTGCCTCCCCTAGTTTTTTGGTCTTTCTCCTCTTCTCTTTCTGAGTGTTTCTTTTCCCCCTTTTTCTCGATTTTCTGGCTCTTCCGTCCCTACCCTTGCACGTGTGGCTGCAGGCACACGCACCCCTCTGTGTTGGTTTTCTCCCAGGTCCCAGGCCCTGTAGCTCATAGCTGTGAGCTGTTTGTAGGGTGTCTGGCGTCTGTCCAGGGATTTGTCAGCTCTCCCTTTCCCCTCACTCCACCTCCTGGCTCAAACCTCAGCAGCCACGCTCGGGTTGGCTGGTGGTGGTTGTCCGGCTGTGAAGGGGGTTGTGTGTGAGGCAGTTGGTATGCCCCTCGTGCCCCCCAGCCTGGCATCGGGCTCAGCCCTGGCGCGGAGTGCTGCTGTCGGGGCAGCTGAGCTGGAGCCAGCATGCGGGAGCCGTGCCTGGCATGCTAATTCCTGAGGCTGATTCTCACTGGGCCGACACTGCATATCGGGAGCTCACGGCTTGCTTTCCCTGAGGGTGTAGGTCATTACCTAGCCGCAGTTTCCTTCTTCCCTGCTCTCTTTCTCCCATTTGCTTTGCTTCCCCCAGAGCAGTGCTGCCTTCCCCGATCCCAGACGTGGGGCCTTCCAGGGCAGGCATCACGTATTTTGAAGTCTTATGTTTTCTTCTAAAAATTCTTTGAGTTTAGCATTTGCTTCTTCATATGTAAGCATGTTTAACATTACTTACCAGGGGATAAAGCAGACTCCCAGGAGAAGGGCCGTGTTTATGTTGAGGCTTCAGATGCCTCCCGGCACATTGCTCCATGCTCGTGGTGGGGGCCATGACCCTGCTGGGGAGCACAGCCTAAGAATCTCCAGGCTGGGGGTGGGCAGGAGGGGGAGGAGAGGGCACGCCTCCTCTCTTATTCCCATCCCTCTTATTAACTATGCTGTGTACGTCTTCCTTCATCCTGTGCCTTCTGGAGGTAGGTACCATAAAGAACAGCCGAACCCGGGAGGATCCCTGTTGTCCCAAGTCCCTCATTAGAGGGTGCTACTTGACCCACCAATGCTGGTCCAGGTTTAAGACCCCGCTGTTCCAGGCTGTTCTCTGTCTCCTGCCTCATGCCCTCCCCCTGTTCTTTCAGGTTGTTTTGGGTACGTGGCACCTAGCAGTCACTCTGACAGCTTTTCTTGCTCACTCGCTCCTAGTCCTCTCCCATTTTCTTCATGTCTCAGGAGTGAGGCCCTTCCTACATTTCCTGACTTGCCCACCTCAGGGGCCACAGGTCCATCTGCTCAGAACCCCACCATGTTGGACCCGGCAGATGGGAGAAAGAGATTTATTGCTGCTTTAATGGGGCAACAGAACCTGGAAAGTCCAGGTTACCCAGGGGCACGCCGTGGCCAGGACAGTATGCTCCGCGTCCCGCCTGGCTGCAGGAAGCTGCCCCCAGCTTATGTGGCTCTAAGGATGCCGACCTGCTGAGCGAGGACCCAGTTGGCGGGCTGGAGGGAGATGCCTGAGGTTCCGCTCTCTCTGTGTCTCCATCTTCTTTCCTGGGGTCTGGCTCCTGATTCACTGGTCAGGATATAGGCAGCCCGCTTTATGTTTTAGTAGTACCGGGTCCTGTAGAGGAATTGAAAGCCCCATTCACCTCTTGTGGACAGCTCCTACATTTTGCAGCTCGGGAAACCACGGCCCCCACCAGAGGTCACAGGCTGGCTGATGGCAGAGCCGGATCTAGAAGCTGTCAGTCCCTCCAGCTGGCAGCTGGACCTTTCTCCAGGGAGGGTGTGGTTCCATAGGCTGTGATTTGAGAAAGGCACGGCTCCCCTCCCTGAGCCTCCAGCACCTTGGTTCTTCTCTTCCTTCTTGCTCTCGCCCCCCACCTTTCATCCCTGGGCCTGATTCCCTGGGGTGGGGGTGGCCAGCCTCTTGGATGACCGTGACCGCACATGAAGATCTGGTAAACACAGCGGCACGCACGGTAGCGGCCACCATGCTGCTTGTCGGCCAGCCCACAACACTTAGAAATACACGTGTGTGTGTCTTCGTCTCTCTGGCCTGGGGGTGGCGAGGGGTGTGTGTACAGGCCTCTGGAATCTTTCCCCCACATTCTCGGTAGAAGAGGGCTAAGGGGGGGTGGGGCGGGACAGGATGTAGCAGGTCTGGGTGAGTCAATAGCCGAGGGAGGCAGGGCTCCAGCCTCCCGAGCACACAGACTGGCTGGACAGTCCGCTCTTGCAGGACAGTCAGGGAAGTGGCAGGTGAGGGCCTTTGCACAGCAGTCCCCTCTCTGATCCATGCTGGTTTTCTCCCTCCCTCTGCATCCCAACAAAGCCTCTCATTTCCCTGATTGCTGCCTTTGTCTTCCTGCCTTTTTCCGCCAGAGCCTCACTCACTGGCTGGGGAAGGGAGGCAGAGAGGAAGGTAGCCAGTAAATCAATTAATTGTGCTTAATCTGTCAACCCAGATCCTTTTAAGGTCCCGAGCTTGGGTAATTTCTCTTCCCTTCTTGAACTCTTTAAGACTTTTATTGTCTGTACTGAATGATTAGCACGTGCCTGTGCATGCACACACACACACACACATACACACACGCGTACTCTGACAAATGGGAGGAAGGGGAGCCAGTCAGAGAAAGTACTATTAGGAATTGTCACCTGGCAGGACTCCTGGCGCTCAGGAGACAGAGCCCAGAGAGCCGAAAGTGTAGAGCCTTACCCCAGGAGCAACAAGACACCATCATTCACTCCCTCACTCGCTCAGGCTACGTAGAGTACCTGCTACGTGCCAGTTGCAGAGTCAGCTGTGAGCCAAACAAAGGCCTTCCCGGAGCAGACGTTTCCGATGGGGGTGATAGTGGACACGGTCGGATGTGGAGCCGCACCGCCATGGACAGAAAGACCGCGGGGAACGGCGTGCAGGACTGCGGAAGGTGCGTGGCTGAGGCTCTGGGGTCTGGGCCAGAGGTGCTCAGATAGGCCGGGATGCTGCCTCCCCACAGACCCCTCTGAGCATACATTCATTGGCATTCGTGCCCAGCTGTGTGTGAGTGTGGGGAGCAGGGGCGAGGCGGCAATCCTTGCAGAGTGTTGGAACCCAAGGAGGGAAGCGGGTTGCACCGAGTCTGCAACAAGGAATCCTGTGGCAGAGACAGCTGTGACTGGCTTAACTGGAGCGGGGGCCGCAGGCTGGGCCAGACCTGCAGCCCGGGGTCCATGCTGAGGAGTAGGCAGGGGCAACCTCTGTGCCCTCCGGGCTCCACTCAGCCCAGTCAGCTGCGTTGGAGCGTTAGCCCCTATGCCTGTCCTGAGCTCACCAGGGACCTACGGCTGCAGCAGCAAGACTTTTCCTTGGAGCAGGTTCTGCCAGATCAAGGCAGGGACTGGGATTGGAGTGATTCTGAGCCCTGTCCCACCTCTCTCTGCTTTGTGGAAGTCACAGGAAGCAGCTGCCAGCTGCCAGGCTCGATGGAAGAGAGCCAGCATGGGGTGGCGCTTCTCCCCTCCGTTGACTGCCTGGTGAAGTCTGAGCGGCCCCCTCAGGTGTGGCAGTGGAAGCAGGCCGGTTGGGTGCCCCTGCTGGGTGTGGGATGGGGCTGAGGGAGGCCTGAGCTGCTCAAGATCGCTTCCTGCCCCGGCCGCTGTTTCTTGTTGCAGTTGGGTGAACAGCAGGTGGTCACCCAGGAACAGTTGAGCCCGGCAGAACAAAGCTGGACAGGGCAAGTGCCAAGTGAACGCTTGTAAACACCCCGAGTGGAGTCCTCTCTCTTGGGGGATGAGCTCAGGTAGGGAAAGGGCACTTTAGATGCAGTCGTTTGCAAACAAACCTACCACCCGTAGGCCTGGCTTCACCACGGAGCCCCTGCGGGAAGGGCAGGCCCAGGCTGCTAAAGCTCTTGTCAGTGGAGGTGTGTATGGCATCCCCACAGGGCTTTAGGGGACCCATTTCCAACTCCCGGATTCCGTGGGCGGCCCTTCCCGGGGCTTTCTGCTGTATCCTCTCCGTCCTTCTGCATCTCCTCCCAGCCCCTGCTGATCCCTTCTCTCTGGATTCCCTGTCTCTAAGTGTCCTTGCCACATTGCCGTGTGATTAGCCTTTCCTTTTGGAATTCATCATGCATTTCGTTTGAGTCCCTGCTGTTTGCCAGGCCCGGGGCTGGAAGCTGCGGTGGCTGCCCCAGGTAGGACTAGATAGGGTTGGGGTGGGGGCAGGAGGGCGGCCCCCTCTCTGACCCACACACATCTCTCCAGTCAGACAGGCTTCTTGAATTGCAAAGTGCGTAGTCACACTTGAAATGAGGTGCCACAGTGTTGCTTGTCCAGTGATGAGTGTTGCTTTTAGAATGGAGCTGACTGGTTTGATTTGTACTGGGGGTGGTGCACAGCTGTGTGAAGCCGATGGCTGTAGAAGTTGGTGAGGTGTGTGCACAGGTGGAGGATGAAGGGGCTTCCCTCAAGTGGCTGTCATTCCTGGCCGAACAGAGTTTCTCATGCAGTGTAGTCAGAGGGGACCGGTGGGGACCGGTGGCTGACGTAACCTCACTGAGCCCAGGCAGATGTGGGGCAAGGGCCCTCCGTGGGTGGGGTAGCCGGCCGCCTCTGTCTGGCCATTGGCAGACTTGGCTGACTATGGTGAGGTTATGGGGAAAGCCATGAGACAGATGAGGTTGCTGAGCGGCTGGTGGAGGCCACAGGGGAAGCCAAACCTTGGAGAGGTTGGGGAGAGGAGGAAGAGCCCGAACAGGGCAGTGGCCTGCATCTGGGTCACCTGGAAGGCTCCTGGAAACACAGTTGCTCAAGTCCCCACAGAGTTTTGATTCAGTGGGTTTGGGATGAGGCTGAGAATTTGCATTTCTAACAGGTTCCTGGGTGGTGTTGATGCTGCTGGTCCAGGGATCCCGTTTTGAGATCCACTGATCTAACAGGAAGGAAACCAAGTTAGGTGAAATCAGGCAGGAGCACCTTGTGAGCCGTCAGTGGCACCGGACTGACGTTTCTTGTTAGGAGAACTGCAGGCGTGTACATATTGCAGATGCTGCACTTCGCGGAAGCTTTCTCCTTTCCCCGTGTGGCTTTTGTCAATACCTGGTCCGATTTCATAACTTCGTCAGCATTGTAGAACGTCTTCCTCTTCTCCGGGTCAGACGGTATCCAGCAGGTGGCACATGGCACACATTTGAGCTTTAAAAACAAAAACTGGCTTGGGCCCGAGGCAGAGAGTCTGAAGTAGTGATCTGAGTGGGGCCAGGTTAATCCCTATTTTTTTAAACTTCCCCAGATGATTCTGATGAGCGGCCAAGATGGGGAGCCACAGATGTATGCTGTAGTTTGTTTTCCTTCTTAGAATGGGCTGTCCACCCACTGTGCTTCTGGGCACTTGCTTTGTCTAGAGCTGTCCGCGCTGCCCCCCACGTGTGGTGATATACCCTCCTCGTCTGCTTGTTTCTGTCTTTCTCGCTCAGCCCATCTCCTGTTGGCTACTGTCCTTCCTTCAGGTCTCTGAATGTGCGTCTGCAGTCAGGGCCTTACTTGCTATTGAGAATTCCCAGGTACCAGGCTTTTCATAGGCCACCAGCAGATTCTACCGTCAACACCTTTGTGAGGACCTCCGGTAACAAATGGTTCCTGACATTTGTGTCTTTCAGTGATGCCGAGAGTAGAAAATTGTGCAAGAAGATGAAAGTTGACCTGAGCACAAAGGACAAAAAGGTTGAATTATTCCATTACCAGTAAGTACATGTGGGCATTTCCAATTTCCAAGTAAGTGCTGAAAGCTTTCATTGGTATTCTCAGGGAATGGTGGTTTTTAGTTAGGTTAATTTTATTTCAGAATGATTTTTTCTTTCTGTGTTTACAGTTCTTTTTTTTAATCTTGAACCATGTTCAATAGCTGAATGTTATTAAGATGCTGCAGGAAACCAAAGGTATGTATCTTCACAACCATTCTTAAAGTTAACACCTTTTTCTCTTCGTTTGACAGGGATGGTGCCTTTCATACTGAATATAACCGAGCTGTGACATTTAAGGTAAATTTACCTCCCTCATTCTCAGCAGAGGTAGCGTCTGAACAGATGCCAAAAGCCTGGCAGGTTCTCTCTGAGAGAAGGAAGGGAAGATTGCACAGATAGCTCTTCCAAATGACCTGAGGGATTCTTATCTCTAGAGCACATGTCAGCAGAATATCTGGAGAAGTTTGTAACTGTTAACACAGCGGGGATGACCAGCCTCGTAGATAAGTGTATGAATCTATCAGCTGTCATCCAGGGAGGCACGTGACGGTATGCCTCTCCCCTCCAGAGGCCTGGGTCTCTAGTGTCCATGCTAGCTCTCCAAAGGCTGGGGGGGGACTTGCTGTGGCCAGGTGAGCACAGGCGGGCCGGACATAGGCAGGTAGGCATGTGTCAGCAGATGCAGCTCGTTTCAGATGACATGCCCATGTCACTGAGTTCCTCCCTGCTACAGATCCAATTTAGAAGTAGACGGAGAAAAGCATCAGTGAAAATAGGTGTGGAGGCCCTGTGACCCGTGGGTGCTGTTATCACAAAGCAGCTGCCCCCACCCCGAGTCCTTCTGTGGCCCTTGGATTCTCTTCCTCCAGTGTACCCATTCTCTCCGTCATCCAGTCTCCTCCTGTGTCTGGTCCAGGCGGCTTTCCCCTGCCCCAGCTGGGGCCATGTATTTCTTCTCTTCCCAACATAGATGGAACTTACTTTTTCAGACTCTCCTGCTTAGCTGACTGGCTTGGACCCCACGGTCCTCTCTCTCTCTGTCTCTCTCCGTCTCCTTCCATTTTTTCCTGCCTATCCGTCTGTGCAGCCATAGGGCCCCTCTCCTCTGCTGTTCTTCTCAGCTCCCCGGTCATTTCCTGTTTATCTACCAACACTCGTTCTTTTTGAAGTCACTACAGCTTTTACCTTATACAGACCCGGCCTGATTACTCATCTTAACACCCACTTAGACACTTAGAGAAAGTTCTACAAACTAGGGTTGCTTAAGCCTCTTATTCTGTGTTAGACGTCAGCTGAAGCCCTGGGAGAGATCATGTGCTCCCTGGGAAGAGGTGTGGCTGGGCAGGGGCGGGGAGGGGAAGTGCTGTGCAGGGATGGAAGGGGGGGCTGGGGGCTTTTTGTTTTAGTTTTGGAGGCTGTGTTCAGTTTACATTTAGTGGCTCCCTCTGAGTCGTCCTGGGATCATGGAGCAGGAAATTGCAGCTGCTCAGAAAGAACTGTAGTAGCTGGGAAGGAGCAAGGAGCCGGAGTAATGTGAGCTTGGCTAGGTAGGGGAGGCTGAGTCCTGGCCTTTGTCTGCCCCCTTACCAGGACCAGGTGTGCGGCATCTGCTCACTCCTCATCCTTCCTGTGATTTGCAGCTGGAGAAGAGGGCTGTGTTGGACAGGGTCAGAGTCTTTAGTGGAGAGACTCAAAGCCCCCAGGGCCATCAGGGACTGGGGTAGAGTCCCTGGAGTTCTCCAGAGCAAGAGTAAGAGGCATAGTGTCTCCCATGACTGCCTGATGGCTTCTGCTCTTCATTCAGCAGGAGCGGCCAAGACCAAAGCCCTCCTTGGTCACAGGTTGGTTTTCCTCTCAGGGATCCTCTTGGGCCTCGATCTCCAGAGAGACAGAGGAGTCCCTGGCAGGGTTGGGTGCATGGTTGCAGGCTCATGCTCTGGCTGTCGTTGCTGTCATGCTGGATGGTTTGCCAGGGACCTGGTCACAGGCACTGCACTGTGGCCCCTACAGAAGCCAGAGGCCAGACAAGTGAGGGGAAAGAGGGGACCTTCCTGTATAAGTGGCCTTTTGCTGGTCAGCAGTCTGTCCAGCAAAATCCTTACTATGTGTAAGTGGTGAGGAATGGAGGTGCCTGGAAGCCAAAACTCGGATGAGCCTCTGATGACCTTCTCCCAAGGCCGTGTAGCTGTGAGGGTGGTTTCCCAGCCACCAAGATGTCCTGAGAACCAAGGTGTGAGTTGTGGGGCCATTTCCCCGGGATTCAGAGCGCCCAGAGCAGGAGGGCTGAGGGAGTGAGACCTTCCAGGTGCTGCTCCCTGCAGACTTTTCCACCTAAGACCTTGTCGGGCAGACTGATTTGGAGAGAACCTATGGATGGGATTATGCACCTTCAGTTAAACAAGAATAATCACCTGAAAAGCAAGTATGATTGTTTCAGTACATCAGCAGAGGTGACTCCTTTCCTTTTGGCATCCACATGTCTTTTCTCCCTGATGCTGAGGCGGGGCTGGGGCTGGGGCTAGCGGTGGGAGAACAGGAGACAGTGCTTACCCTTTAACTCAGCTCCTGCTGATGTGCGGACAGTAGCCCCCTGAGAGCAATAGTTCCTAACCTAGTTCGGGTTCCTAATCCCACTGAGAATCTACTGAAAGGCTTAGATCTTCTCCCTAGAAACAGTATGTTTGCATAAAATAAATGTAAAATGTGGCCATGTGAGTAAATGTAAATGCTTACTAAAGTAAGTATAAAGTAAGTGCTTTCATAGTGGTCTGAGGTCTCACAGGCTCCTGAAGGCTGCCGTGCACCCTGCATTGAGAACTGCTGCCCCAGGTGTTTCTGAAACAGATGGGCACTTAAAAGCATCTTTCTCACATGGCCCAGGCCGGGCAGGTGCCTCTGCAGCTGTGGGTGAGCATGGGTTTCAGGAGGCCCTGCCACTTCCATTTCGGCTTATATTGTTGCAGCAAAGCATTGACAAGGACAGAGGAGAGGCAGATCTGCCTTTGCCATGGTGGAAGTGGCCCCTCTTCTTTTGCCAGGAGGCATTTCATAGCTCCATTTGGATGACCAGGGAGCATTACCTGAATGAAATTCTATGAAATCTTAGCTGGCTCCCATTCTTCCATGGTAGCTCTTTCCAAATGGGGTGTCCAGAACGAGTAGGCCTCACTGAGGTCCTGTGTGTGTGACCGGTGGATGGGCTGAATGCACAGCCTTGCTAAGAGGGTGTTTCCTTTTCTCACCTCAGCCCACCTCCCTCCCACCACACTTGTGGACACAGCCAGCTTGTCATCTGCTTGTTGGAGCTTGATTGAAGTAGACAGAAGTCACAAAATCTTGCATCAACTCTGTGTGTTGACATGGAGGCCAGCAGCTCCCCTCCAGAGTCAGAGGGATGGAGGTTGGCTGGTTTCTGGTACTCATTCCTGACTCTCACAGACTTTGAGCACCATTTCCCAGAGTGGCTCTCGGAGGGAAGGGAATGCCACTCCTGTCCCGGACCGGTGGAGTGTGGCAGGGATAGAGGGCAGTGGAGGGACATGAGCCCAGTTTCCCGCCCCACATGTGTCTTCCACAGAGGGGGTGAGATTTGAGGCAGTTGTCCACACAACAAAGGCTACTGAAGCCCTTTAACCTGGAGGTCTTCGTCAGATCTTCATCCTGAGCATCTAGAAGGGGGGGTCTTCAGTGCTCGCTTTGGCAGCACATATACTAGAAGGGGGGGTCTTCAGGGAGAGAAGTACAGCAAACCAGGCAGCCACAGAGATGAGCACCCTGCCTGAGCCCGACAGAGGATGCAGGATTTAACACACTGCCAAACCAGTTTAGATCACACAGTACTGAGCAGGTGACAAGTAGGTGTGCTTACCTGCTTGTGCAGTTGACAGTTTTTGTGCATGAATGTGGAGTCCTTGGACAGGACTGGACAGCTTTATTCAAATTGATCAGAGAGCTTCCTGAAGGAGATGAGACCTAGCCGAAGCATGAGTGTGTCTCTGGTTTAAATAAGCCAATGAATTGTGTCAAATCTCTTCTCTGTCCATGAAGAAGCACAGAGGTATGGATCAGCTGACCAGAGTCAGGTGTCACGTGGCTGAAAAATTTTGGTGGAGGTGGTGGGGGTGCATTTTTAGGGCCCTCAGCAGTGATGTCAGTGGGCAATGGAACTGCACCTTGCGGTTGGCCACATGCAGACTCTTTGCACAGGCGCGTGGGTCTCCGGGCAGGGAGATGGGGCAGGTTCCTGATTTCCCCACCTCCCTCTTTGCTGGCTAAAACGAGTTTTCCCTTCTCTGTTCCTTTCCTCAGTCCATAGTGGCCTTTCTGAAGGATCCAAAAGGGCCCCCACTGTGGGAGGAAGATCCTGGAGCCAAAGATGTTGTCCACATTGACAGTGAAAAGGTAATTTATTCCCCATCAATTCTGGTAGACACTGGAAGCCTCCCACAACCAGGTGCTCCCTAGGGGAGATGTCCAAGGAAATGAGAAAGGGGAGTCTTCGGGGATGAGTTGTGCTTTCCTCCAAGGGAGCTGGGCTGCCAGGCCCCTAATATTTGTTCTTGCCAGCTCCACGGTGGAACCCACAGGAGATCACAGGCTGGCTGCCTGAGAGCTTCTTCCCTTCTTCACCACCTTATTTAATGTATTTTAATGGGTTTAGATTTTCCTTATAGGAATATCCATTTAAATGTCCTTTCCTTATTATGTAACTCAGTCATTGCTGGGATTGGCTGTGTGTTTTTAAAAGTGGGTTTTGTTTTTTGTTTTCTTTAAGAATAATCTCAGAGGTTTGGGTTGGATTTCCAGAGACTTGGGTCAGGTCTCTACAATTCTAATGTAAATTTGAACAAATTATTTATTCTCTTAAGCTTTCAATTCTGGATTTGGCTAGGATGGGGGGTCGGGATAGAACGGTGGTTGAATCATAGTCTCCATACAATCCTGACCCTCCCTTCTTTCTAAGCCTGCCCCGCCTGACCTGAATATGCATCTTTATCCATGGGTACTTTACTTGCTTGACTGTGCCTTCACATAGGATGGGCAAGAACTTCTTTGTTCTATTCCCCATGGTCTGTGAGGCAAGCCGTGCTGTATTGTAGGTGGAAGGAGAATGTCCTTTTTTTTTTTTTAATACGAAATACTCTTGACATACAGTGGTATTTTAGTTTCAGATATATAATAGTGATTTGACAGTTCTGTATATTCCATAGTGCTCACCATGATAAGAGTGGTTGCCATCTGTCATGATACGAAGTTATTACAGTATTATTGACTGTATTCCCTATGCTGTACTTTGGTTCCTGTTACTTATTTATTTTATAACTGGAAGTTTATACCTCTTAATCCCTTTCACCTAGTTCATCACCCCCTACCCCCTTTCCCTCTGGCAACCACCAGTTTATTCTCTGAATTTATCAGTCTGTTTCTGTTTGGTTGGTTTTGCTCATTTGTTTTGTTTTTTTTAGATATATAAGTGAAATCATAAAATATAAGTGAAATCACATGGTATTTGTCTTTCTCTGACTGATTTATTTCAGTTAGCATTATACCCTCTAGTTCCATCCATGTTGCTGCAAATGGTAAGATCTCTTTTTTAGGGCTAAGTAATATTCCATTGTGTATATATACCTCATCTTCTTTATCCATTCATCTATGGATGGACACTTGGGTTGCTTCCATATCTTGGCTATTGTAAATAATGCTGCAGTAAACATAGGGGTGCATTTATCTTTTCAGGTTAGTGTTTTCATATCCTTTGGGTAAATACCCAGTAGTGGAATTACTGGATCATATGGAATTTCCATTTTTAATTTTTGGATAAACCTCCCTACTCTTTCCATAGTGGCTGCACCAATTTATATTCCCACCAGCAGTGCACAAGGGTTCCTTTTTGTCTACATCCTCACCAATGCTTGTCATTTGTTTTTGTGATATGAGCTGGAGAATGTTTGTTCTTATCTTGATAATGTAAAATGTACTTTTTATCTTCTTCTGCCTTTCCTTCCCTTTTCATTTAAAATCATTGACCCTTAATGCTTGTTAGCCCAAAAGAAAAGGATGCCATTTATACTTCCTGGAGAAGGGATCATGTGTGATCATTGTGGGCTAACCCAGTAGGTCTGTGGCAATTTGAATTAAGGGGCTGGGCATCAGCATTTCTCTGGGATAGACCATGCCAGTATTGTCAGAAGAGAAAAAGCAGGGGCACCTGGGGGGCTCAGTTGGTTAAGTGTCCAACTCTTAATTTCAGCTAAGGTCTTGAGTTCAGGCCCCACAGGGGGCTCTATGCTTTTTTTTTTTTTTAAAGATGAGAGCATGTTGGGGGCAAGGGAAGATGGACAAGTGTCAGGAGGTAGTGACATCTGGGTTTGTAGTTATGAAAATACAAGCAGCCTAAACTCACTGTTGCTCCTAGGTAGATTTTGTGATAATGCGCATTTCTAGCCTTTCTGGAAAGTGAGTGCTTGCTACCTCCCTCCCCTAAGATGTTCATGTCCGAAAACTCCAAAGATCACTCTTCTATAACTAGAAATATCAAGCAGAAAAGTTTTTTTCACACCTGTGGGCAGTACTCTTATTACATTTTGTGCTGTCTTCTCTCCCGTAGAAGTCTAAGGTATAGCTGCCCTTCTGCTGATCGAGTCCCTACGTAAGATAACTAAAAGTTCCAAATTCAAGTTTGAATTGCCGATTCGTATTTGTGAGCTTAGAATTCCACACTGTTGAAGGCAGTTAAGCATCTTTGAATGTAATATTTGTTTCTACCTAGGGTATGAAACCAAATTGTTAGAGGCTCAGAAAAAATCTTTTCGTCTCAGATCTTTACCAGGTTTTATCTCCAGGGATTTCAGAAGATCATTTTCAGAGCATTTGCATTTTCTACCCGTTGTCAGGGTCAAAGATCTTAGTCAGTAATTCTTCCTTACAATGAGTAGAATTACATAATTCTAGTTACTTAAACAAGAGTGAACATTTTCAGAATTTAATTATAAAATGTTTTGAATTCCTACAAAATATTTGTAATATTTTTCATCTAACTGAAAAATTATAAGTAATACATATGCATTGTTGAAAATTTGGAAAATACAGCTTAAGCATAAGAGAAAAAAAAATTACCCTATCCCTTCCCATTGAGAGATACCCACTGCTGGTATTTTCTCTAGCCTTCCAGGCTTTCGACATAGTGCATACATAAATATTTTTACTCACAAAAGTGTCGTTGCATTTTATATGCTGCTTTGTAACTTGCTCCCCCCCCACTTAATGTAACATGCATATCTTATTGTGACATTAAATATGCCTCTTCATCGTTTTTAATGATGCACTAGTATTCCATTGCGTGGGATGAACCCTCATCTATTTACCTAATGCCTTGTTGCTGCCAGAAAGCTGCATTTTGTAATCTCCTTTTATTTTCTTTATTATTCAAAAGAGAAAAATCTCTAATTTTCTTCTATGGAAACCAGTTAGAGAGAAGCAAATTATTTTAATCAAAACATGCTCTGTCATTGTGCTTCTCTGCAGTCCTTGATAGATCTGCTTTTTCCGGAACATCATTGACTCTCGTTGGAAGAAGGATCTCCAACCCTGCCTTACACTGAAGTCTCTCCATTAGCACAGTTGTGACCATTTGTCTTTTTACATTTATTGTATTTATTTAAGAAATACTTATGTATTGCCTAATAACGTGCCAGATGCTATTCTAAGGGTTTTACAAATACAAATGATCTGTTTAGCTTGTAACCTCCGGGGGCTTGGGGGCTCGCCTCATCTGTATGCTTCTGTGCACACAGTGGACTCCTGGGCACATGGACGGTGGCAGCAGGGCTGGGGAAAGAGATGAGCGGGTGTGGGTTAACCCTGTGTTACTGTAACGAGCAGCTAGATCCCCATCTGGCCAAGTTGGGCTATAAGAAAACAACCCCCCCCCCAAAAAAAACAAAGCCACTACATAAATCACATGAAGGGGCAGCCTCATTGAGCCTCATGGGACACGAATAGTTCCTTGCAGTCTTTGAATTGTTCAGGTGGAGCTGAAGGTAAAGCTGGTAGCCTGGTGCTGACTACTTCATCACACTAAGTGGCCTTGGGAGGGGCCTCAGGTTCCCTGTCTATAATATGCGGGGATGGTACAGATTGTCTCCATCATCCAGCTCCTGATGGGCGGTAACTCTGACTGCATGCCCCACATCTCAGGTCAGACCTCGGGACTTCTGAATCCCACCCCCACCCCCGATGCTCTTCCGGCCGAGGCTGTGGGCCCCTGAGCAGGTGTTGCCTCCCTGTCATGTTCTTGTGTATGTGACCTGCCATGTTCTCTGTTTGTGTCTCAGGACTTCAGACGGCTCCTGAAGAAGGAAGAGAAGCCACTCCTGATGATGTTCTATGCTCCCTGTGAGTGACCTTTCTCCTTTGGGCCAGAGTTAGTTGTTTAGACTCTTGCAGGGGCAGCTGGGGGGTGGGAGGCAGGGGACTGGGAGCTTGCCCCAGCTCTCTGAAAGTGTGAAGGGTGTCCCTCATCCCACTCTCTCTCTCTGTGCCTCTTTGCCTTTTCACCTGGCTCCTCTCTTCCTGCTGTCCGCATCAATTTTTCTCTCACTAGAATCCACATCCTTCTGCCCTCTTTACCCTGAGCTCTACCCAGTGACAGTATGGCTCTCCTCTCCAGATCCTCCCGCCATCTCGCCATGTCCCATTCCCCGCCCTCTGCCTCCTGGGGGCCTGAAGCCCTTTCCCCCCCAGCTGCGGGCCTGGGGGAGCCAGGTGCCCCCGGAGCCGTGCTCCGTCTCAGCATCCTCTCTCAGGTATTGGGGCCGCTCACCATCCAGAGCCTGGCTGGCCTCCTGGGGCAGCTGTTTGCCCAGCTCTGGCTCCTGCACATCTCTGCTGGGGCCACCTGCGAGGTGTGGGGGGATCCGGACCAGGGAGGAAGGGGCCTCGTATTTTGGTTCAGTCTCTAGATGAGGCGAGAGGCCGTAGGAACAGCAGAAAGACCATTGAGATGACAACCAGAAGGCCTAGGTTCTAACTCCAGCTGTGCTATCAGCGAGCTGGGTGACCTTGGTCAAATCCTTCACCTCTCTGCTCCTCAGTTTCTGTTTCTGTAGGAGAAGGGGTTGGGTCAGAGCAGTGACTTTCAGAGTTTTTGACTGTATTTCATAGTATTCATGTAAAAATATTTTTCATTGCAACCTAGCACTGTAAGTATGCACAAATTATATATATACATATATATAGGTAAAAATTATATAATTTGTGCATACTTACAATAAATAAGTTGAATAAGTAAATAAGCCAAAACAAGTTTTACCAAACCATACTTACCCTTACTACTTGCCATCCACTCTGCCAGATGCAGTACACACTATTTTCTTTTTCTATTTTGTTTGATTTAGAAGTTATTGATTTTTCCTACTATGTCATAACTCTCTAATAAAGTGTCTGCAAACTATGGCCCATGGACTGTCCACCTTTTTGGTAAGTTAATTTTTGTTGGAACATAGACACGTTCAGTTTACACATTGTCTGTGGCTGCTTTCAGACTAAGCAGAGTTGAGTAGTTGACAGTATGTCCTGCAACGCCTCAAATACTCTGCCTGGGCCACCCCTGTGATCTAATGGGTCCCACCCCACCGATCGAAAATCCTCAGATTATAGCCTGCGGAAGGCCCCTAATGACTCTGTGTACTGCATATGCCCTTCCGGAAGCCAACGGCCCAAAGGCTGGGGCCATGCGTGGTGGGACAGGGGTGTCCTGTGGCCTGTCCGTGGCTTGGATGAGTATCAGAGGCTATGGCATCAAGGTTCTGTTTAGTTTTTTTGCTTTGTTTTGTTTTTTCCACTTTGGAACTGGTTTGTTTATTGCAATAGTATACATAAGACACAGCATAGGTGCTCAAATCAATTGTGTATCACGCTGCCTGGACTGGATTTCTGCCTAAGAGACGTATGGCGTATGGCGTATTTTCTTTTTCCTTTTTTTTTTTTTTCTTTAAAGATTTTATTTATTTATTTGACAGAGAGAGACACAGCGAGAGAGGGAACACAAGCAGGGGGAGAGGGAGAGGGAGAAACAGGCTCCCCGCTTAGCAGGGAGCCTGATGCAGGATTCGATCCCAGGACCCTGGGATCATGACCTGAGCCGAAGGCAGACGCTTAACCAACCGAGCCACCCAGGCGCCCTTCCTTCTTTTTTTATTATGTAAGTTTCAGGTGTACCAATTATAATTTGACCTCTGCATATACAGCAAAGTGATCACCCCCAAAAGGCTAGTTACCATCCATTACCCCACAGTGGACTCCCTTCACCCACGCCCAAGCCCCTTTCCCCTCTGGTAACCATTGAACTGTTCTCTGTATCCAGTAGTTTGCTTTTGTTTTGTTTTTTAGATTCCACATGGAAGTAAAGTTATGTGTTTTTTCTTTCTCCTTCTGACTTACTTCACTTAGCATAATGCCCTCAAGGTCTATCCATGTTGTTGCAGGTGGCAAGAGTTCATTCTTCTTTATTGCTGAGTAGTATTCTATTGTATATATGTCCCACATTTCTTTATCCATTCATCCATTGATGGATATGTAGGTTGTTTCCGTATCTTGGCTATTGTAAATAATGCTGCGATAAACATGGGGGTGCATATATCTTTTCAAATTATTCTTCCGATAAATACCCAGTAGTGAAACAGCTGAATCATATGGTAGTTCTATTCTTAATTTTTTGAGGGATCTCCATACTGTTTTTCATAGTGGCTGCACCAATTTACGTTCCCACCAACAGTGTACAAGGTTTCCTTTTTCTCCACATCTCTGCCAACACTTGTTATTTCTTATCTTTTGGATAAAAGCCATTCTGACAGGTGTGAGGTGGTATATCATGGTTTTGATTTGCATTTCCCTGATGATTAGTGATGTTGAGCATCTTTTCTTATGTCTGTTGGCCATCTGTATGTCTTCTTTGGAGAAATGTCTGGGCAGATCCTCTGCCCATTTTTTAATCGGGTTGTTTGTTTTTCTGTTGCTGAGTTGTATGAATTCTTTATATATTTTAGGTATTAACCCCTTATCAGATATATGATTTGCAAATATCTTCTTCCATTCAGTAGGTTGCCTTTTTATTTTGGTGATGGTTTCCTTCGGTGTACAGAAGCTTTTTAGTTTGAAGTAGTCCCATTTGTCTGTTTTTGCTTTTGTTTTCCTTGCCTTTGGAGTCTGCGCCACAAACACATAGCTAAGATTCATGTCAAGGAGCTTGCTGCCTACGTTTTCTTCTAAGAATTTTATGGTTTCAGGTCTTACATTCAAGTCTCTAATCCATTTTGAGTTAATTTTTGTGTATGGTGTAAGACAGTGGCCTAGTAGTGTCATTCTTTTGCATGTGGCTGACCAGTTTTCTCAACACCATTTATTAAAGGGCCTGTTCTTTCTCTGTTGTATGTTCTCGGCTCCTTCTCATATATTAATTATCTGTGTATGTGTGGGTTATCTCTGAGCTCTCAATTCTTTTCCATTCATCTGTGTATCTTTTATGCCAGTACCATATTGTTTTGATTATTATGGCTCTGTAGTATAGTTTGAAATCAGGGAGCATCATACCTACAGCTTTGTTCTTTCCTTTCTTATGTTTCGACTATTTGGGATCTTTTGCAGCTCATAAAAATTTGAGAATTATTTGTTCTAGTTCTGTGAAATATGATATTGGAATTCTGATAGGGATTGCACTGAATCTGTAGTTTGCTTTGGGTAGTGTGGACATTTAAACAATATTAATCCTTCCAATCCATGAGTGTGGAATATCTTTTATTCGTGTCATCTTCAGTTTCTTTTATCAGTATCTTATAGGCTTCAGTATACCTACAGGTCTTTTACCTCCTTGGTTAAATTTATTCTTAGATATATTATTCTTTTTGATGCAATTTTAAATGTGATTTTTCCTTTATTTCTCTTTCTGATAGTTTGTTATTAATGTATGGAAATGCCACAGATTTCTGTGTATTGATTTTGTATCCTGTGACTTTACTGAATTTACTTATTAGTTCTAACAGTTTTTGGGTATTTTTAGGGTTTTCTATATATAGTATCATATCATCTGTAAATACTGACAGTTTTACTTCTTCCTTTCTGATTTGGATGCCTTCCATTTCTTTTTCTTGCCTAATTGCTGTGGGTAGGACTTCCAGTACTATGTTGAATCAAAGTGGCAGGAGTGGGCATACTTGTCTCGTTCTTGATCTTGGAGGAAAAGCTTTTAGCTTTTTCCTATTGAGTATTATGTTAGCTGTGGGTTTGTCATATATGGCCTTTATTATGTTGAGGTATGTTATCTCTATACCCACTTTGTTGAGGGTTTTTATCATAAATAGATGTTGAATTTTACTGGGTGCTTTTTCTTTATCTATTGAGATGATCTTATGATTTTTATCCTTTGTTTTGTTGACCTGGTGTATCATGTTGGTTGATTTGCAAATATTGAGCTATCCTTGCATCCCTAGAATAAATCTCACTTGATTGTGTTGTATAATCTTTTTAATGTATTGTTGAATTTGGTTTGCTAATATTTCATTGAGGATTTTTACGTCTATGTTCATCAAGGATATTGGCCTATAATTTTCTCTTTTTCTGATATCCTTGTCTGGTTTTAGTATCAGGGTAATTTTGGCCTCATAAAATGTGTTTGGAGGTATTCCCCTCCTCTTCAGTTTTTTGGAAGAGTTTGAGAAGGATAGGTATTAAATCTTTGAATGTTTGGAAGAATTCATCAGTGAAGCCATCTGGTCCTGGACTTTTTTGTCTGTTGGCAGGTGTTTTATTACTGATTCAGTCTCCTTGCTAGTAATTGGTCTATTTAGGTTTTCTGTTTCTTACTGATTTAATCTTAGAAGATTGTATGTTTCTAGGAATTTACATATTTCTTCTAAATTGTCCAGTTTGTTGGTGACCAATCATCCATACTAGTCTCTTATGATCCTTTGTTATTTCTGTGATGTGAGTTGTAACTTCTCATTTCAGTTCTGTTTACTCTTGAAAGCCTGCTTTGAATCCACCTTCTTGAGAAGTTCTTTGAGCAAAGACTCCTCCCATTTCCACCTGAGTGATCATGCCTCCCTGGATGGCTGCCCTTCTATGAGGTCATGGTGGTTCTGCCTGACTTGGGCCTGTGATTTATTCACCATGACAATAGCCTTTCCCCTGCCCCTGTTGATTGCTGGGTGTCCCTCTAACCCAGCCTCCTCTCAGACACCTTGCTTGCTTATAGAAACGAGACCCTGGTGTCCCACTTCTTGTTAGAGCTGGCTTTGCTCAGAATGATCTGCACTTTAACCCTGGGTCATTTTTTTTTCATTAATGTTCACTGGTTGGTTTCACCCCTTTTTGTTTCTCCTTGGAGGGATCTTATTAACTACCCAGCTGTGAGTTGCTTCAGGAATTGTCCTGCCTGCCCAGCCTCTTGAGGACAGGGCCTCCTATGGTTTGTCTCAGAAGCCTTCAGAACTCAATTCATTGGTTAAATGAGACTAAAACAGACTGTGTATCAGTATACAGTACGTGTTGCAAGGCAGGATCACGGTATAGCTGTGTGGGTTTCAGTATGACACTGGTTGATCACTTACCAAGAGTGGTTCCCTAGCAGTCTGCATTAGAGTCTGCGAGCCATCTCTCCACACCCCCTCCCCGGGCTGTGTGGCAGTGTGCCCCCCTCACCACGGCAGGCAGAGAGGCAAGCATAGTTACTGTGTTTATATAATGGAAGGCTAGGGTAGGAGAAGTGAGACCCCTTGTTGGTATCACAGAGCAATTAGTAGTTGGGGAGGGAGAGAGAAAACTCGGAGCTGGTAAGTTCAAATTTGTGGAGGGGTCAGATTGGATGGCCTCCTGGGTCCCAGGTACCCCAGGACTCTTTTGTTGTTGTTTTTATTGAAACAAACTTGTGCTTTTATTACACTTGTCCACTCAAGCCTTCATGGCTTCATAATTCAGCTTATTCCTGGAAACACACCAATTCCCTAAGTGGGAAGTCTTTTAGGACTCTGATCCTTTGATCATGTTTGGGGTGAATGAACCCGAAGGCAGTGGGAGGCTTTACTTGTGACAAAGAATCCGGTTCCTCAGGACCTACTGCCTATTCAGTAAATGTTTGTTGACTGAATTAGTGAGAAAGTAAAAGGGTGACTGCTCTAACTTTGGGGAGTTGAGAGTGACAGTCTTATTTCTTCCCCTGCCTCTCAGTCGAATCTCAGTCGAAGATAAATTCAGATAGGGATCACAGTACCAGCTCTATTTATGGTGAAGTTAAATTGGAAACTGGCTTGGCCCGGAGCTTCCTATTACTCTCCCATCACCTCTTCACCTCACTAACTTCTTCTCCCAGGACTGCTGGTCTCCGTCCACGGGGAGTTTGGGGGACATGGCGGGTAAGGCTGCTGCAGGCTGCAGGCGGGCGGAGCTGGACGAGAGGTGCCACCCCTGTGGGGACAGTTCATAAATTAAGCTTCTGACTGATGAATGTGGCCCAGAGGGTGTCCGACTCCCACCACCTCATCAAGTCACCAAGTAAAGAGTGGGTGAAAGCAAGTGCCCTCCCACCCCCACTCACTTTCCCTCCTGAGAGTGACAGCCTCTGTCCGCTGTGGAGGGGTTCCCCCACAGCCGCAGACCTCCCGGGGGCACACACTCAGGTCTTGTGTTCCCAGGGCCTGCCCTGCTGAGTGTCAGGCGCTGTCTCCACACCACAGAGGGCAAAGCTGAGGCTCAGACCGCATGGCCAGGCTTAGAGAGGCAGCAGATGGTCAAGGGGAGAAGCAGGCCTGGGTCTCCTACTCCTCGGAGCCGAGCTTCTTCCTCTGCTGTGTGGCCTCCTGTTGTCTCCACTGTGTGACATCCAGCTTGGGGCATGGGCACCTGGCTGAGGCAGCCTTGTTGTCCCTGTGTCCAGCCCTGTGAAGTCCCACAGTGGGAACAGTGTACCCTGACAGATGTCAAATTCCTTTCTTCATGACACTTGCGGGGATGGTGCTGTGTGGGCTGCTGGAGAGAGGTGCCTCGTGTCTTCTGAGGGCAGAAGCTGTGGGCTTGTGCTGTGTGCTGACCTGGCAACAGCTCCCACTCTCCTGAGTCTCCCGGAGTCTGAGGCTGTACTAATAGCATGAGCCTGAGCCCACGCTTCATATGCCGCTGTGTGTCCGGTGTGTGTGTTCGTCTGTCTGACAGGCAGGGATGTCAGGGAGGGACCGTGGGCACTTAGGGAGCTCCATGTCAAAATAGCCTGTGTCGCGTTTGGTCCAGTAGACTTGGTGTTGGGGAGGTTCCAGGGGTCCCAGGATAGCTTGGACCTGCTCACGGTTCTCCAGAGTCTGTGTGTGGCCCGGTTGGTAAGAGCACCTCTCTGATCTGTATTACTCTGCCCGCGGTCGGTCTGCCGCGGCGTTAGCTAACATGGATTAGAGCTTGTCAGCCTGCCGCTGCATGGCCCTGTCCCCCCTGTGTCATGTTGAGACGAGATCCAGCCTGACACAGGGTTCTGGGCAGCTTTGGTGTCTGCAGCCTTCAGGTGCATCTCAAAGCCTTTTTACAGCAGAGCGTCTGTCAGAAAGAATAAAAGCTTGTCATGTCAGAATTCCTTATGTCTGAAGAAACCAGTGCATGTGCCCTGTGGGGTCAGCGCCGAAATGTGGCCTGCTCCAACTGATGTGGGGTGGGGCATGCTTTTAAATCAAGGTCACTCTGAAGTACTAGTGGATCTTTGGGGCTTGGCTGTCTGGCCCAAGGCTTGGGGGGCCTTCACCACCCCAGGGGGAGAAGAGTGCAACCACATGGTAGACCACAGAACCCCATAGAGGGTTGAGCCAAAGACATTATAGAATCGTCCGATGTCAGAGCTGGAGGGGGCCTGAGGTTGTCTGCTCCAGCCCTCCTCATTTGCCAGAAGGAGCCATCAGCCAGAGAGGAGAGGTGACCTGTCCAGGGCCATGCAGTGCATGACAAGAAGACAGGCACTCAGGTGTGCCGATCCTGGCCTGGCGCTCCTCCCACAAGGCCTGAGCTGGTACTTTCACACCAGCCCGTCTCCACTCACTGCCTAATTATTCCTGTGGATGGAAGAAAAGGGCCGTGGAAATCCCAAAGCTCATCGTATCTGTGGTTGGACAGTTTTCTTCCTAATGGCATCTGGTTCATGTTCATTCGTAGCCCCTGACTGGACAGTGAGGGGAGGCTTTTAGCTGCGCTTTCCTGTCACCTCTTCTGGTTCCCGGAATTCCCGGTGAACTCATGATCAGCCCTAAATTATTCCCTGCTTTGCTCTTCTCCAGCCATGTTGTGTTTGCTTAGTCAGTCCCACGTTTATTGAGGGACTGCTGGGCTGTGTCCTATTTTCTGCCATTGAGACTGTAAGCTCTTTGGAGGGCAGGGCCTCTGCATCCTGGTCTTTCTGTGTTCCCAGGCCCTGGGGCAGTCCTGCCCTTCTGCAGGCTGGGTAAAAGTTTGCTGCCAGAGGTCAGCCTGAGGGGAGGGAGGGCAGGGCGCAGGGCTCTGGCACCCGGGATAACCATGTCTGCTTTCTCTCCTGCCCGTGACTAGGGTGCAGCATGTGCAAGAGGATAATGCCACATTTCCAGAAGGCCGCGACCCAGCTGCGAGGCCACTTTGTAAGTGAGGCCCCCGGGCCTGGCAGGGCTGGCCAGCTCACCTGAAGAGTCGATGGAGGAGGGGCTTAGGGTGGGGGAGGGCGGATTTGAAAATTGTGAGGACTTCCCCTCCTACTGCTGCCCATGCTCCCTGCGCGTGTGATCCAGACCTGTCCTTGGTGGATGGTGAGAACTCCACAGGGTTGCTGGGACCAGGAGAATCTGGCGCTTGTCCAACCAAGGCCAGTGACTTAATAGCCAGGAAACCAGCAAGAAGCACAGGTGGTATTGCTGGGTGGCCAGGGGCCATCAGTAGACCATCAGGGCTCCAGAATGACTGGGGCTGGGCTCCAAAGTGGGCCGAGGCTCCTGGTGCTGGGTAGTCCAGTGGCAAAGAAAGGGGCATGGTGACCAGTGGTGGGCCCAAAGCACAAGCGGGTTCAGGGGGCAGTTTCCTGCCAAGCTTGCCAGGGCTGTGGTTCCTGTGTGGTGGGACAACAATAGAAATGACAGCAGAGGGCGCCTGGGTGGCTCAGTTGGTTAAGCGACTGCCTTCGGCTCAGGTCATGATCCTGGAGTCCCGGGATCGAGTCCCACATCGGGCTCCCTGCTCAGCAGGGAGTCTGCTTCTCCCTCTGACCCTCCTCCCTCTCATGCTCTCTGTCTCTCATTCTCTCTCTCGCAAATAAATAAAAATCTTAAAAAAATAAAAAGAAATGACAGCAGAAAGAGGTAGTCCAGGCGGGGAGCTGGAGACCTGAGCTTGCAGGCACTCTCTGAAGGACGGTGTGCAGAGTATGTGGGCATGGGAAGCAGACAGAAGCCAGGGTTGTCTCGGGGATGCCCACCTTTCACGGACAGGAGGGGGAAGAGGAGCCACTGAGGAAATGGGCCTCAGGAAGAAAGAGCAACCAGGATGGTGCAGGAGGGGCAGGGAGACCGGGCAGTCAGAGCTCACCAAGCTGAGGACCCCTCACTGATGGTCCTGGTCATCTCTGTGCGGCCCCCACCCACCAGCCTTGTCTCTTCTCCGCCGTATGTCTGTCCAGTTTTGCACTTACCCTGAGCCACAGACATTTAGGGTTTTTTTTAATTTTGTTTTTGTTTCCATTGGCGGCAACAGAAAAAGAGTTGCTGGCTCCTCCAGGGAGCGTGGAAAAATCCATACACATTTTATGAAAGGTTGTGGGGAGGAGAGCCATCACGGTGGGGCTGGCCAGAGTCCCATGAAGGGAGTTCATGATATATATATATCTATGATATCATGATATTTATATATTTAAGTTGGTGATTAGTTCAAAGTCAATTTAAAAAGTTGACATGGCAGCACCTGGGCATGGTGACAGCCCCGCCACCTGGGTTGCCTGCAAGATTGGGTTGCAGAGAACTGGTGCTTTCTCTTTTGACCTCATTCTGGCACAACACCAAGGTCCTGCTTGTTTCTCACTAAGGAATTTTTAGCAACTTGCTGAGAGATGTTTGCCTTGGGGCACAGATACTTCACTTGGGGCAAGTTTCACTTTGCATTTTGGGGCCTCAGTAGATAGCATATTTCATGATTATTTCTCCTGGAGAAAAGACTTAATTACCTAGTGTTCTCCCTACCCACACTCGTTTACCCTTAGAAAACTCAACTTCCAGACTCTGTGGTGTGGTTGAAGTCACACAGCTCCAGCCCCGGTCAGATCACAAATGCCTGGCCAGCTCCATCAGAGTAGGCGAGGTCTTGGGGCCAGTCTTGTGTGACATCTGGAAGATGCTCAGCCAATGGCACATCTCCCTGCCGAACTTAGTATTCTTCCCAGCCCCTCCTGTGCTCCCACAGAGCTTATCCCTGCCATGCATGGCCAGGTCTGCTCCTCTTTGCTTTTATTCCAGATCCCGTTGTTCACCCGTTGATACTAATTATAATATGATTTTCTCACTGTAGTGTGAGCTTCTTGAGCACTGGGGCTGTGTTTGGTCCATGTCTGGTTCTTCAGCACAAGCACAGGGCCAAGCTCATAGTGGTACCCCATATGTGCTAACGAATGAATGAGGGAGTGTGTGGCTTATCACTCCTGGGGACGTTTTATTTTGAGCTCTGCATTTACTCAAAAAATGATGTTCCTCTTTTTTTTTTTTTTTTTAAGATTTTATTTAGGGCGCCTGGGTGGCTCAGTTGGTTGAGCGACTGCCTTCGGCTCAGGTCATGATCCTGGAGTCCCTGGATCAAGTCCCACATCGGGCTCCCTGCTCGGCGAGGAGCCTGCTTCTCCCTCTGGCCCTCCCCACTCTCATGTACTCTCTCTCTCTCTCTCATTCTCGCTCTCTCAAATAAATAAATAAATCTTTAAAAAAAAAAAAGATTTTATTTAGTTATTTGAGAGAGAGAGAGTGCAAGCACAAGTGGGGGGAGGGACATTAGGGAGAGAGGATCTCAAGCAGACTCCACACCTGATCCCACGACCCTGAGATCATGACTTGATCCAAAACCAAGAGTTGGATCCTCAACCAACTGAGCCACCCAGGTGCCCTGATGTTCCTCTTTTTAAAGGAAATCAGAGCATCAGTTATTAAGGACAGAGACAAAGTGGGAAGGATGTTTGTGGGACGAGGTCTTTCTCCTTGGCCTTGGGCTCACATGAGGCTCTTTCTCAAGATTAGCCCTGAAGATTACTTCTTTTAGGGGTACCTGCTTCCAAAAAAGAAAACAACAACAGTGCCTGCTTCTTCTGCCTGGGCCCAAGTCAAGAAACATAAAAAGTGGCCCTTCCAGTTCCCTAGACAACATTACAGAAGACTCCGTGGGGTCATCTGGGTGCCTGGAGCGCCTGGCTGCTCAAGCCCAGCTTTGGCTAGGTGTTAGTTACCTTGGCCTAAGGCATCTGTGTTGTGTGAAATCATTCATTTCCTTGCTTCTGTGTTTTCTTGCTTGGGGTACGTTTTGTTCTGTTTCTTAGGAAAGCACCTTTAGAAAGTTCTCATCCTTTCCCAGCTCCGTAACTGGGGAAAAGTGTGGCCACATGCACACGACCCACTCTCCTCTCTCTGCCCACCATCCTGGGTCAGGCCCTGGTTAGCCCACACAGGGTGATTGCGCGAGACTGCTGACTTCTCTTCCTGACCCATGACTTGCCCCTTACAGCCTGACTTGTTTATATTAAAAAAAGAAAAGGGTGGTGGGTGCCTGGGTGGCTCAGTCAGTTGAGCATCCAACTCTTGGCTTTGGCTCAGGTCATGATCCCAGGATCCTGGGATCGAGCCCTGCTTAGCGGGGCGTCTGCTTCTCCCACTCCCTCTGCCCCCTCCCCTGCTCATGCTCTCTGTGTCTCTCTCTCAAATAAAATAAATAAAATCTTAAAAAAAAAAAAAGTGCAGCTGGAAAACCCTCCAGCACCCCCTGAATAAAGTCCTGCTTGCTTAGCCATTAAAGCCTTTTCCAGAGTGAGCTCAGTGAACTGGTCCAGCCTTCTCTTCTACCCCCTTCTGTGTCCTACTGGCCTGTTAAACCAGCATATTCCCTGCTTCTTGGGCTGCATCTTGTTCTGTCTCACTTCCATGTCTGTGGAATTCTTACCTACCCTTGAGCACCAGCTCTGTGAAGCTTCCATCTTGTTCCTGTCGGATCATGAGGCAGAGCGAGTCACGCCACCAAACATGTGGCTCCAGGTCAGGCCTTGTGGCCTTAACTTTTAGGCTGAAACCAGTTTTGCCTCATTTGGCTTTACAGACTCCAAAAAGTGTTCGTACATAGTTGTTCAAGAAATATTTATCTCAGGGCGCCTGGGCGGCTCAGTCAGTTAAGCGTCTGCCTTCGGCTCAGGTCATGATCCCAGAGTCCTGGGATCGAGCCCCTCATTGGGCTCCCTGCTTGGCAGGAAGCCTGCTTCTCCCTCCCCCTCTCCCCCTCCCCCCTGCTTGTGTGCTCTCTCTCTCTCAATAAATAAATAAAATCTTTAAAATAAAAGAGTTTAAAAAAATATTTATCTCATTAATAAATGCCCCCAAGAGGCACAAGAGTACTACAGAAACCCTGAGAACTAAAAGTTCATCACAAGCAAAGATGGTTTGGAAAGGCTGCAATAGGAAGGTGGGATTCGGTTTGCCTTAAAGGATGAATAAATCTTAGGTAGAAATTGTGAGATGGGGAGTGGGCATCCTAAGCAAAAGGACTAGAAGACACAAAGTAACGGCCAGGGGAACACAGCATGTATTCTGGAAACTTGGGCAGAATTGCAGAGCTTCTTAGTAGTAATGAAAACGGCTAACATATTTTTAAATTTATTTTTGTAATTTAAATTCAATTCATTAACATATACTGTATTACTAGTTTCAGCGGTAGAATTCAGTGATTCATTAGTTGCATACAACACCCAGTGCTCATTACATCATGTGCCCTCCTTAATGTCCATCACCCAGTTACCCCTTCCCCCCCAACCTCCTCTCCAACAACCCTCAGTTTGTTTCCTAGAGTTAAGAGTCTCTTATGGTTTGTCTCCCTCTCTGATTTCATATTGTTTTATTTTTCCCTCCCTTCCCCTTTGTTTCTTAAATTCCACATGTGAGTGAGATCATATGATAATTGTCTTTCTCTGATTGACTTATTTCACTCAGCATTATACCCACGTCATTGCAAATGGCAAGATTTCTTTTTTTTGATGGCTAATATTCCATTGTATATATATATATACACCACATCTTCTTTATCCATTCATCTGCCAGTGGACATCTGGGCTCTTTCCGTAGTTTGGCTACTGTAGTCATTAACGGCTAACATATTTTGAGAGTTGTAGATACTTTGAGTGTTGTAGATCCTTTATCTGTACGATCTCTCAGTAATCACAAGAGGTGGCTGCCGAGGAGGAAACTGAGGCACACAGGCAACTGACTTGTTCAAGGAAGTGCATCTACTGAGTAGGGAGGACCCAAACGCAACATCCTGACGCCCGCACTTGAGCCTCCTGGCCGCCGTGGTATATTGCCATCTGCAGAGTGCCTTAGACGGCAAGCAGTCCAGCTTCCTCCCTGCGCAGCGGTCTCAGACTCTCCCATTCCTGGGAGAATAAAAAACCTAGACCCTAGGAAGTACACAATTAAGAGTTTTATAAGAAAGAAGAATTCGAAAATGAGTTAGGGACCGTACGGTCTTTGGGTGTGGCGTTAGATGCTAGCCCGTATTCCGTGGAATTGAAAGGTTTTGTGCAGGGAAGTGTTGTAATGAAAGAGGAGGATGTGGAAGATTAATCTCATGGTGGACGTGTGCAGACACTAGGGAGAGCAATTAGAATAAAAAAAGAACTTTAAAGTAGACAATTATTACTGGAACAGGCTGCTGAATCAGTCTGGGGAAATGAGCAGAATGGCCTTTAGAGGGTCCCAGGGCTTCTAGTAAGTTCTATTTCAGGCTTATTCTCCCCGTGTTTCTTGCAGCATCCCACAGATGAGCTGGGGGGAAAAAATCAGTGATTTAGTAAGCATTTATTGTGTGCCACTGTATGCCAGGCATTGTGCTAGATAGCTAAGACAGTTGGAAAGACATGTTTAGATGCCTTTAGGATGGGGCTGCCAGAGGTACAGGTGGCTTCCGTCACCAGGAGGATTTGGTAGGAAATCAAGAACTTGACGATTATTGAGCACCAGTTTGGTGCTGAGTCCTCTGACGTGGGTCATCTCCTTCAGTTCTCTTGAGAGCCTTATGATTACTTTCATCATCCACGTCTCCCACACAAGGATCCTCAGTGAGGGTGAGTGACTTGCCCAAGGTCACATGATTCCTAAGTGGATGCAGTCTTTTGAATCAAGTTGGTTGTTCATTGAGACTACTGTTTTCCTTTTTCTCTTCCTATGTTTCCATATATATTGTTCAGCACAGTCGGCTTCCCGGGTTTCTTCTCTCTGCTTCTGTGACTGCTCCTGGCTTTTGAACTTCCTTTCCTCTCCCCTCCATGCTGCCCTCCTTTGAGGAGCAGTCTTCCTGTGTCTGGCCACTCTGACTTCTTTCTCTCTGGGTTGTTCTTAGTATTTAGTAACACAGCTACTAAAATTCTCCTTTCCCACTTAGGGGTGTTGGATATGGGGGGCCCTGCAACCAGAACAAGTTCAGACTTCAGAGGTGGTCCAGTCAGGCTGTAGGTAATGGTTACAAACAGGAGAGAAGCGAGGGATCTAGCAGTCTGGAGGAAAGAGAGGCAGGCAGGTGGATTGTCATGAGAGCCACACTCTCTGGCCACATAGGAGCTGTGAGTTCTGAAAACGTTGCACACAAAGCCGAGGTGGACAGACGGAGGCAGGCCACAAGGATTTTGTGGAATGGCTGAATGGTGACTCAGCAACTTAGGAGAAGAGTACAACCTTCGTTGACGTGGGCAGGGAGAAAGCATATTATGCATACTTGGGTGGCAGTAGCCCCACTCTAGGACCTGTTTGAACTTGGTAGCAAGGCCAGGTGTCTTTCTCAGCCCTCAGAACTTTGTTTTTGCACTGGGGTGGCTCCCCTGTGCAGGGCAAGTAGAAGGAGACCCTCTACAGAGGGCCAGCACCTGGCCCAGACCCTGCATCTTCCAGAGCTCTGGGCTGTCATTCCCAGCTGGGTTAGTTTGCCTTGCTCCCCCGCTGCCCAGGGATGCACATCAGTCTGTGAGGTTCTGTCCCCTTCATCGGTTTCTGGTGGGACAGATGGATGGGCTGTGTGTAGACAAGGTGGGGCTGTCTGTGGGGCAAAGTGTGAATAGGCCTGTTCTCCCTTTGCTGCTAGGTGCTAGCTGGGATGAACGTCTACCCCTCGGAATTTGAGAACATCAAGGAGGAGTATAATGTGCGAGGCTACCCCACCATCTGCTATTTCGAGTAAGTCCGCTGCTTCCCTTCCGATGCTCACTCCCCTCCCTGATGGCATTTGCATCCCTGGCTGAGCCCACGTTGTCTGTCCACATTTCACAGGAAAGGACGATTTCTGTTCCAGTATGACAACTATGGGTCCACAGCTGAGGACATTGTGGAATGGCTGAAAAAGTAAGTGGGCGGTTGCCTCGGGGGTGTATGCCTAGAGGGAGGGGCCTTAGCTAGACTCCGGGGTAGCCCCTGGTCTCGGGGCTGTGGCTGGGGGCGGGGAAGAGAACCAGGAAGGGAAAGGTCCTGTTGTGCTGCCCAAACGGTGGTTTCTGGGTTGCTTCTAGGTGAGGATGGGGTCTTTGTGGGTTTAGGATATGAGAATCGGGAGGATTTGGTATGACTCTGGCCATGGTGACTGCCTTTCAAATAGTTCTTTTCCCCTTACTATCTATCTGATGGATAGGGGTATTTCTCATCTAGGATGTCAGTTTTGAGAGAGGCTTCACTGCAGGTCTTTCTGAAAATTGGATTGTCAGTTGAACACTTACTTCAAATACAACAGTGTATGAGGTACTGTGAAGCTCCTAAGAAATACTCTGATAACCTTAGATTTGCAGAGTGCTTTACCATTCACGTGCACTCCCCACAGATGCTGTTTCATGGCAACCTTGTGATCCCTGTTTGTAATGTGATTAGATCCTCGTAATCCAGAGTATCCCTTCTCTGGACCCCCCACCATGCTAGGCGTGTGACTGGCATGACCTTGATGGGTGTGTTGGATGGGGAGTCTGTCTCCCCCACCATGGGAGCTGGGGAGAGGCTGCCTCTCCTGGCAGCCTCCTCGAGCCATCCCAGCCAAGCACTTACCCTGCTTGCTTTGAGCTCTGCCTGTCATCAATTTGGCACATACCAGTCACTGCCATTGTGCGGCTCTTTGTGCATCATTCTTGGAATAATACCAGCTAACATTTTTTGGGCTCTACTTCATGGCCGACCCTATTCTAAAGACTATATGGATTCTCATGTAATCCTCAGAACAGCCCAGTAGGGAAGACATTATTCTCGGCCTTATTTAATGAATAAGGTAGCAGAGCACAGTGATAAGGAGCTTACCCAGGCTCCTGCAGTCGACAGGTAGCATGGCCAGGCTTGCCCTGGGCAGCTCCCCGGAGTTCTGCCTGGAGCCCCCTACCCCTTCCCCAGGTGCTGGCACGGTGGATATTCACTGACATCGTTACCTAAGGGGCACAAAGTGAAAGAATTAGTTATCCAAAGATACGGAGGTTGAAAATGTGTATTTTCAGAATGAGAAGGAGGATGAATTTTGTACTCCCCCCCCCCCCGCAACAAACAAAGAAACAAACTGTCAGATTCTAAAGGTTGAAACTCCCAGTCTTCTGTTCTGTGGGTCCCTGGCTGATAAGATAAGATACAACGGTAACACCATGTGTGCACGGCATCTTTTGTTTCTCGGGAAGCATTGTCCTATCTCTGTTCTCATCGATTCCCTCATTGCCCGCCCCTGCCCCCCATTCTCATGTATTCATTGTTTTAACCTGGGCCTTCACTCCCCTGTTTTCCTTTTTCATTTGATAGTAAGCATGTCCTCTGCTCCAGCCAGACACATCTTACTCTGCTTCGGGAGAAGGTTTCAACAAATAGCAATCTCATTTGTCACCAGAACATAAAATCTGTCTGCCTCCCTCCCCCTTCTCTAACCTTTTCTGGTTTCAAAATACACTTACATCTTTTTGGAAGGAAAAGGTTTAGTTTTTGTTTTTTTTATTGAAGTGTTGAGAATTGCTTGCTAACCCTACACAAGAGGAGCATGTCAGTGGAGTTTGTGAGAGAGGTGATTATCTCCCCACTGGGGCCTGGCACTCTGTCCCCCACCCCCTCCTCTCTGCCCGCTGCCACCCCAGCTCCTCCACTAGACTCTGCTCTGGACAGAGACCTGGAGGCAGCCCTGGGCTGGCGCCCCCCCCCTTCCTTTTCCCACCTTTCCTTTTCTCCCTCTCCTCACCCCATGTGGGGAGGAAACCTTGTTAGCAGTTTCTGGTTTAGTCCCGGTCCGTATGCTGAGAAGGTTGGTGGGGTGACTCCAGGGAGGGGGGTGCGCAGCATCTGGGTCTCCCTGGGCAGCCCTGTCCAGCTGTCTGACTACTGGTGATCACTGTCAGGGGTACTCGTGGCGGCAGCTCTTCCGAAGGCATAACTGTAGCCCGCAGCACAGCAAGGGTAGTGAGACCACCTCCTGAAGGACCGCCAGTGAATCCCCTCATCTCACACCCCAGCAAGAGCCAGTGATGTCGCTGTGCTGGCAGCTGGCTTAATTTTTAAAAAAATAGTTTTTGATTTCAAGGCTCTTCAAGTGAGATATGTTATTATAGAAAAACTTAAAAATATATTTAAACAAAAGGAAAAGCCCTTCTTTCTTCCCCACCCAAAGTTAATGTGTTGTAATATTTTGGTGAATTTCCTTCCAGTTCTCCCCACCACCACCCCCCCCACCCCCCGCCCCACGTGTACCCAGCTCTTTGTGTGGTTTTTCCCTGTGACAGGTGTTTTAAGTCTTTACCGGTCTTATCCCACATCCTGATGGTTGGCAGTGTTCCCACCTTTCCTGCTTCCTGGCACCTCTTCCCTGGGCCTTCCCGTTGGCTGCTCAGGGCTTATGTTTGGCCAGGTGTAGAAGAATGAGCATGGATCCAGCCTTCCTAACTCTCTGGGTGACTTTCAGAAGCCCAGGAGAGAGGAATCCAGATCTCGTGCCCCCCCTCTCCCCCCATGAGTGGCTGGCCACTGGGTACTGGGTGAGGCCAGGTGGAGACTTTGGGGTCTGAGTGTGCAAGGACTCTGGGGTAGGTGCGTTGATTGTGGCAGGTGTGCCCCCTTGTGCTCCCACTGGCTCTGTTTCTCAGTCTTCTCTGCAGGTTTCATGCTGCTGAGTTGGGCTTGGCACCTAGAGGTTGTATGCACGGTGGTAGTCTATTTACTTGTTTCTGCCTGTGTGTTTTTATTTCAACCAGAAGTGAACTGAGAGCAATCACAAAGTTTTCTTGACTTGCAATGCTTATTGCATCTTATCTACGGCATGGGCACCAACCTCAGATAAGTGTCTGATTTATGTGAACTTCCCAGTCTGGAGAGCCCAGTAAATTGGAGTCACAGGATTGGAAGGGAATAGAAACATCAGTGAATCTGTCTCTAGCAGTTTGCCTTGTAATGTTTGCATTACCTCTAGAACAGATGCAGTTACCTCAGTCCCACTCAGACACCTCGGAGAACAATGCCTTGACTCATGTTAGGGTCACCTACTCCTGTTTGAACCATTTCTGGATTTCAGTCATAAATGATCTCTAGGAACATTTGGGTAGTACTTTATACGTTTATAAAGTATCTTACTCCAGAGCATTATCTGTTTAGATATAGCTGAGAGGTAAAGAAAGGCCTCCAAATACACTGTCTAGTAGATGTTTGAAGTCAAATTGGTTGCCTAAGCCCTAGAGCTGATAAGTGGAGCAAATGGGGCTCAAACCCAGCTCTTCTGACTCCCAGCATGGCTCTCTTTCCCTCTCATCTGTTGTAGATAGAAGGTTCTTCCTTCCCGTGACTGAAGTTTCCTTCTCTGGAGCTTCCACTTGTTGGCATTGCTTCTCTACTTCAGAGCCACAGAAAATAAATGTTCGTTTCTCTTCCTGATGCAGTCTGAAATGTTTGAAGATAGCTGTTGTGTTGCCCACGTCTTGTCTTCTCCAGGTTAAACACCTCCAGTGCCTTCAACCATTCTTCTCTCATTCCATCATTCAGAAAGTGTTTACCGGATGTGTTCTGCGCATTAGGTGCAGGAGCGATCAGAGGGAGCCCCGGTCTTCGAGGAGCCTGATGGTGAAAGGCATAAGTCAGGAATAGTGTTTGGCTTCAGACTTCTACTCAGTCCTTCTCTTTGCAGTGAGCCCTTGTGCCACTATGCCCAGCTTTTCAATCCTCTCCAGAAAGTAAACAGTTGTCTGCTGGGTGGGAGAGGGGTGTTCACCTGGCTGGTAGTCTGAGGGCCAGGATCTGAGGGCCTTAGCTGCTCAGGCTTTTGGTATATGCCCTGTTTCCAGCCTCTGCCATGGCCCTGCTTCCAGGGGTGGTGCCTTGAGGTCCTTCAGAGCCTTCACCTCTGCTCCTGGTGTGGCTGTCGGGCCCCCGGCCCCTGTCCGCATCCTGCACCCCAGGTCTCTGCCCTCTGTTTTGCTCGGTCGCTTTCCTAGCTTCTAAAATTGCACTGACCTCTTTTCCTTTCTTCACGTTGTCTTTCCTGTTCTTTTTGCTCCTGTGGGTTCTTATGTTTTTTAAGCCTTGTTCTGTTATTTTAGTGGTTTTAGAGGGTGTTCTCTGTGTTTAACTAGAAGTTTCTCAGGCACTTTCCTGTGCTTGTACTGCAGCTAAGCTGTGGCTTCTCCATTCTGTGCTCTCATAGGATGTTTAAAAGTTATTTTAACTTCTGAATAGATTCCATTCATTTAATTAAAATAATTTTTTAGAAGATACTTGAAAATTATACATTAAAAGTCTCGCTCCCACTGGTTTCCTTCATCCTGTTCTACCTCCTACCCCCTAGAGGCAACAACTTTGATTAGTTTCTTTATGCAGATGCAAGCAAATATGGATTACTATTTTTTATCTCTCCTTCCTTTATGCAAAAATTAGTACATTGTGGCCTGTTCTGTGTGTCCCAGTGGTCTATCCACGTCAGTGCATCGAGAGCTTTTTTTGTTCTTCCTTATCGTGCTCAGCCCCCGTTGTGTGGATGGACTGCAGTTTATGTAACCATTTCCTACCAGTGAACACTAGGTTGTTTCTAGTCTTTGGCATGGCAGATCATCTGCAGTGAATGCTTCAAACATACATAGTGTCGCACGTGTGCATTTGTACTGGCAAGATAAGTTCCCTGAAGTGGAACTGGTGGTGTTTGGAGCCCAAGTGTGGGAGCCTCAGTCTCCTGGTGTTGGTCTGGGACCATTGTCTGGCTAATGACTCATCCCAAAGCATGATTTTGCCACCAGCGCCATCTGACATTGGATGTACATGGGCTGGAAATGGTTTGCCCTCTTCCCGCTGCTTCCCTCTGCTTGGGCCCAGGGGGCCCTGCTGAGGCCACCAACAGGGAGGGCTTCTGAAGGTGACATTGAACCCGGACTCTCCATGGGGTGGGGGTGGCAGATCCCATTGTGTCGGCCATATTCTCTCTCATGATTTCTAGCCCTGGCTGCCGGCACTGTACACTTTTTTTCTACTGTAGGCTCTCAAAGGCAAGAAACAATGGTTGTCTTTTCACATTTGTCATCCTAAAGGGTTTTTTCAGAGCAGCAGTTAAGGGGCTCTGGCAAAGGTGCTCGTGGCGGCCAAGCAGCTGGGGCTCATGTCACCAGCAGCCTTGTCCTCCGCTCTGGAGCAATAGAGGGCCCCTGCGAACCTCCCCCTGGAGCCTCCCCCTGGAGCCTCCCCCCTGGAGCCTCCCCCTGGAGCAGCTGGTGACGCAGATAGCAGCGTGCCGTCATCCCTGGGGGAAGCAGACTCCCCGGAGCTTAGGCAGCAGCTTCCCGAGGTTTTCAGCCAGCAGGTGGGGAGTGGGCATCTGGACTGACCTCCAGGCCCGGCTCCTCCTGATCCAGCTCTCTGCCTCGGGGAGAACTGGAGAGCTTTGTTCCTGGTCTCTAGAAAGGATAGGTAGATGCTGTCAAGGTTAGGGTGCCCCCGCTCCCGCTCTTCCTCCTCATGACCCTCCTCCCACACTGGTCAGCCTTGCATCACCCATGTGGCAGGCCCCTTCCCCGGCCTAGATTTGGTCTTTCTCAGACACTCGGCCTCTCTTTCTTCCTAACCACTGCTCATACGCCTGCCCCCCCCCCCCGAACTGCCGTCCCAACTGGTCTTTCCTCTCCCCACTCTCTGCCCTTGCCCATGGGGAGCTACTAAACACAACAGTGAGCTTCGCCAAAGGTCATTCTTTGTTGATGCTATTTATTCCTGCCGGTTTGCTGAAAGTTAGAAAGAGCCTGAGACACTGTCAAACCCCCAGATTCCTGGGAGGAAGGGGATTTCTTGAGCTGCCTGGGGAGCTGTAGCTAAAGCCACTGTTTGTGAGAAGACATTTGGTTAAGCACCTCTGGGGCTCTGCGGGGACGGCGAGGTGGGCAGGACCAGATCGCTCACCCCCTGCTCCTCCACTGAGGGGTTTCCGGTGAGCCCCGGTAGCAGGCCACATGAGCCACGGTGGCTCTGGCCAGGGGGCTGGATTTCGTAAGGGCTGCCCCAGCCCCGGGCTTGCTCTGAGCTCTGCCTGTTTTTGGTCTTCCAGTCCGCAGCCGCCACAGCCCCAGGTCCCCGAGACTCCCTGGGCAGATGAGGGCGGCTCCGTTTATCACCTGACCGACGAAGACTTTGACCAGTTTGTGAAGGAACACTCCTCTGTCCTCGTCATGTTCCACGCCCCATGTGAGTGGAACCTTGCTCCTCCCGCCACATCCTTTCCTCCCTGAGCCTAGGGTGGGCACTGCTCTGGAACGCGAGTCCAGTGAGCACTTGCCTGTCGGACGCCTCTTCATGCCGGGACACCCTGGTGCCAGGCGAGGTCCCCGCCCTTATGGAAGGGCCCACCCTGCGTCACCATCAGGGCAGCACCGATGTCCTGCTCGGGTCACAGGGCCCCTAAGCTCAACCTGGTGGACCTGAGTGCCTTCCTCTCTAGTCAGCACGAATTGGGAAATGCAAACGAATTTCCCAGAATTGGAGGACTTAGGACTGGAAGGGCCCTTAGATACCAGCTAGAACAGTAATCACCCCTAATCTAGGTGGGGAAATTGAGGCCCCCAACAGGGCCTGTATCTTGCCCAGCAGCTGAGAGGGTACAGTGAGGCCAAGGCCAGAGCCTCAGCTCCCCCAGCATCTAGAATGCCTTCCTTCTGCTTCAGCCTGAAAGTTTCATAGCCTGAAGCAGCCACAGTGGATCAGGGAAGGGAAATGTGTGAATGCTGTAAAAGGCGTCTGCAATAATGGCTGGAAGGCCTGTAGCTCAGGAATTTCCTAGGCCAGTGTCCTCCCCATTCCCATGGAGAATGGAAAATTGATTGTAATTTGTTTCCAAGAGGGAGAAGGTTGCTCCTAGGAAGGTGAGCAAGGGGATGACAGCCCGGGGATGCAGAGTTCCTGGGAAAGGAGGGCCCACCCCATGGGTGAACAAGGTGGGTCCTCAGCACCCTGGGACAGGTGCATATGTGGGCTGGGGCGGGGGGGCTCTTCTCTGAGCTTCTTGCCAGCTCTTCGGCCCAGTGATGGTAGGGACGAGACTGTGAAGAAGAAAAACAGGCAAGAAATAACTGTTTTGTGGAGCAGTGCCATAACCATCCAGTCCATGGAGGTACATTGAGCGAGGAGAATGTCATAGTCATTCTTCATATCCATTCCGTCATATCCATTCAATGTTGCAGTGGTAGGAGGGGTCTTTACGCTAACAGCTGTGTATCACCCTGAGGTGATACAGTGGCTCTCCACAGGGTCAGCTCCTGTCATGTTCCCCATAGCACCGCTAGGCCAGGATGCCAAGCCCCGTTTTACAGATAAGGAGACTGTCTCACAGAAATGGCCCGAATTGTTCACTGCTCCGTAAGTGCGGTACTGCTGACCCCCTGGTCTGCCAGCGCCCCCTGCCCCCCGCCTCGGGGTATCACATGGGTTTGGTTAGTCGGGAGCTATTCATAAGCGACTCGCTCACTGCTAGGGATTTCCCCAGCTCCTTCTTTCTAAGAATTGCCAAATTCTTGAGAGAATCCAAAGGAAAACTCTTCCTATGACCCTTCTTCTGAATTTCTAGAAAACTGACAAAACACCCCCAAAAGCTAAGTTTCAAAGAGCCTCCTGATAAAGGGCAATGATGGGGCCCTAGGAGCACTTCACCCCCAGCCCTGCCCGGGCCTTAGTGAGCATGTTGGGTGTCCACCTGGCTGACATGTGCTCTCCCGGCCCGTCTTAGGGCTGCTGGTGGAAGCCAGGCCAGCGGGAAGTTGCGTTGCATGTACAGTTGGGGTCAGCCCGCCTGCATCCCTGTCCCAGCAGTGCAAGCAGGTACTGGCTGGCTGTTTACACTTCCTCCCTGGGAACGTCGCCCCTTGCAGCCTGACAGTGCAGAGTGGTTTGAGCAGTGGTTTGTGGTTGATGCATCTCAGTGTGCAGAGTGTATATCCCCTGTGACGAATCTGGTACATTATCCAAAAACAATACGTTTGTCTGTGTTCTTTCTTGTAGTCTTAGGTTGTGAGCAACCCATTGTAGGAGCTGATGCTTGCAGGGTCTGGGGCCTGGAGCCTGTCCGTAGTGTCCCTCCCTTTCCCTTCCCTCGTTACTCTTGCTCTTCCCTCCCTGAACCAGAAGGATCTTGTTCATCACTTCCCTCCTCCCCCACCCCTGCCCCACTCTGTGGGCATGGAGTAAGGGCTTAATGGATGAGAAACAAACCAATGAAGTTGTTTAGAGCTAAGTGAGAGAAAGAGAACTAGGAACCAGATAGCAGCTTTTGTTTTCTCCATCGGTCATTGCTATTAATAAATATTTTGAAAGCCACCCCACTCCATGCAGAGCCCTCTCGAGGGGGCTCGGATTTCAAACTTAGCAAACAGAGACGTCTGAGGCTTCCGCTGGTGGGTGTCTGCTTGTGAGGAACCCTGCATTCTCTGATGAGGTGCCTGCCAGCCCCCTCGCTGTGCGTGTGTGTGTGGGCTTATCTCTGCTCGACTGACAGTGACAGGGATCAGGGCAAAAGCATGCAGTGAAGCTTCCTGTTAAAGCCCCCATTGAGTCATCTCTCTACACAGTCCCTCCGTATCCAGGAGCATGGTTTGTCACCTGGGAAGGGATGGACTGCCTGTGGTTTTTGAGAGAATTCGGAACCCAGGAGGGGACAGCTGGGAGCAGAGAGCTCTTGGCTGCCTCCCTGTGCAGCTCATGCTAGAGTGCTCCAGAGAACCCACAGTGCTTGTGAAACCACTTGTGTGGTGTTTGAGTGACCCAAACGTCAGGAGGCCAGAGGCTGGCAGTGCTGTTCCTAGGTTTCCCAAGTGCATAAAAGGTGAATTCTGGAAATCACAGCAATATGACAGGTTTCCATCCCAAACCAAACAGGGAGAGTTTTAGAAACAGACCATATTGGAGACTTAGAAAAACAAGTTGGGATCTATCAACAGAGAAGACCATAGTTTCTATGAAGGATGAAGGATCCTTGGATGTACTTGGTTTGTTTCTTGTGCAGATTAGATTACTGGGTTGATGAATTAGCATGTCTTTGTTTTATCAAAAGCGAGTCTCGCTTTCCTGACTGTGATGGGGGAAAAGGGGCGGGATGGGGCCCGCCTAACTAGAGCACCTTCTTAGTGCTGAATGACTATGAGTCCAGCTTGGGTCAGTCTGGAGGGTGGTACTTGTTTTTTAGTCAGCAGTTTTGTTAAAACTATAAAAAACAAGGCATACTTCTGAATCTGCAAAGGTTAGAGCTGGAAAAAGGATAGCTAGCTAAAATATTGAACAATTGCATTTAAGGTTTTTGAAGATGCCAACAGACTGAAATAGTAAGGCTCAAACTGAAAAGCTGAATTTATTTTTATGACTTTCTGGTAATTAAAGAGGAATGCATGTACATTTTATAAAGGGATAATACGGGAAAATATGGAGAAGAAAATTCACATTTGTGATACTGACTCCCAGAGAGAGCCACAGTCCCTCTTTACACTGTTATTTCTATGCACAGAGTATATGCTCAATGTCTGTTCCTTCCCGGGTTCTGCTGTGAAAGGCCAGGAAGAAAAAGGGTCTTCATCTTTCCACCTGACTGGTGCCTGCCCCGGGGTGGGTGCTTCCTGGCATGTGTAGGTTCCAGAGGCAAATTACTTGGTTCTGTGCCTAGAACTTTCATCGGGTGCCTCTGGAGCTACACTCCTGGGTTCTTGGCAGGAAAGGCACCCGTGCCCCTCATTGTTGCATATCCTCCACTGTCCGGTGGTCTGCTTCTTTACCCTCTTTTCCAGCTTTCCTGCCACTTCCTTCCCACCTCAGCCTCATCACCTTCTCTCGCTTCCCCTTCACTTCTAGCTGGAGTGGATTAGAAACCTCACACAGATCCTTCTGCATCCTCTGCATCTGATACCTGAGTCATCACTGAGCAAATAAGCACGAGCCCAGCACACGGTGGGCCCCTCCACGTACATGAGCTCCAGTCCTGGCCCATGAGCAATGGGCTCTGAGAGGAGAGTGTGCACTGCACGGGGCAAGGACAGAGCCTGGGCCTCAGTAGAGCCCTGGGGGCAGCCCTCCATCGCTCAGCACTTCCACCTTTGTCATCCATCTGGCCGCCAGTGCGGGGCCTGGCATGGGTGTGGAGGCTGCAGCACCAGGCCCAGCTCTGTGGTCCCCCAGAGGACAAACATAGTGTCCACAAAGGGTGTGGCAGCAGGACACGGACTCCTGCCACTCCAAGGGGCCTTTTGTTTCTTTCTGCAGCGTCCTGAAGGAGAAAAGTCAGACGATACGTTGTCATTCATCTTCTTGTCACTGTGTGCTTTGCTGCAAGAACACCCACCCGCTGCTCCTTCTCCATGTACCTCCATGAGGCCAGGGGAGGACACAGTGCTGTAATAACACTGTCTGAGAGAGCATCACTCCCGTGGGGATGGCAGAAAAAACATGGGGGCTCCCAGGGAGGGTGTCCCTGAGGAGCAGCTTGTCTCTCCCATGCGCCCCTGCCCCATCCACCCCCTTTCCTTGCCAATAGGCCCAGATGTTTTCTTTCTTTCTTCCTTTCTTCCTTTCTTTCTTTCTTTCTTTCTTTCGTTCTTTCGTTCTTTCTTTCTTTTCTTTCGGTTTTATTTATTTGAGAGAGAGAGAGCACAAGCAGGGGAAGGGCAGAGGGAGAGGGAGAAACCGACTCCTCATTGAACAGGGAGCCCGATGTGGAGCTCGATCCCAGGACCCCAAGATCATGACCTGAGCCGAAGGCAGATGCTCAACTGACTGAGCCACCCAAGTGCCCCCCAAATGTTTTCTTAGAAGTGTGTGCTGGAGGCTGCTGGGCCTGGCCTGCCTTCCAGGAACTGGGCTGTCTCTTTGGATTTGGTGGCAGATCCCTGTCAGACTCCAGATTTTCTGCTTCTTAGTTTCTGTCTTATTCTCAAGTAATATGACCTTGGTGAAAATCTGGAAAGTACAGAGAAGTATAAATGACATTGGGAAAAAAAACTAGCTATAATCCTATTATCCACAAGCAACCATTTTTCACTTAGTTTCTAGTTTCTTTTCTTCCCCCTTGTTTTTAATTTTTTTAAATTAACATATAGGTAATTGACTAATTTTTCTGACATGTGTAGATTTGTGTAACTGTCATGCCATAAATAACTCCTTCGTGCTATCACTTTTATTTTTTAATTGCACAAATAAAGTAAGGATAATATTTG